GACGGGTGGGGGTGGCGAAGTCGCATACGGCGACGACACCGACGAGACGGAGGACCGGGCATGGGGCGCAGATGCAACGTGGGCCACAGCCGAGCTGTAGGGCGGCGATAGAGGTGGTGGTGGCGACGTCGCTGAGGGGGACGGGCTCCGGGCATGTCTGGGGGTGTAGGTTGGGTACGGCCATGTTGTGCGACGTCGAGGAGATGTCGGTGTGGGTGTTGGCGTTGGTGTGATAGGTGTAAGTGAAGGTTGGGTTGAGTGTATGCGTCCCGGTGTTGGCGTTGGTGGACGAGAGGGAGAGGGAGGAGGAGGAGAAGATGGAAAGGCGTCAGCGAGCTTCGCTACGAGTGAATGGAAGAAAGACATTGGAATAAAAAGGCAACTCGAAAGAGAGAGACGAAGTGAATGGGTGAATGGAACGAAGAAAGGAAGCAGATAACGAGCTGCTGCTCCTACACGAGCACCGCAGCTAGCACCTGGTCGAAGCAATGAAAAGGTGTGAAGGGATCCAACACACCCTCAAACGCTCGTCGACGGGCCCATCACACGTGCTCCCCCTCGATTGAGTATCGAACCCCAAAGACTGATGTTAATGCTTCGGACATGCACATCGCTATTTCCGTGCTGGGGAAGGAAGACCCGGAGCCAAGACCAACGAACGCGGAAAATAAAACGCGAATGAGAAAAGATGAGATGAGAAAGGAAATGCGAAACGAAGAAGAAAAGAGAACGGGGCAGGAGAACGACACATCGCGAGGAGGACGCATTGGATGGACCCTTGGACCTCCGCGGTCGTCCTCACTGGAGTGCAACGAGGAAAACGTGAGGTAGAAAGGTGGCAGATTGACGCCCGAACGTCAAGGAAAGATATGACAAAAATAGGCCTGGGCCCATCAACGAAAATCATCGGCGAACGCGGGAAGAAAGACAGGAAAGAAGCGAACGAAACGAAACGAGAACATACCTCGAGAGCGTCGGCGAACGTGTATGCCCCGCATACCTCCCCTCTCCTCTCCCTCTTCCGTCTGTATCTCCGCCCGAAGCCCTCGAGTCTGCCACCATCGCCGACGACGACGACGCATACGGCACCCTCGGGCGAACAGGCAGCGGCGGGGGGCTCTCCTCCACCTCTCTGTCCCTGTCCTCGTCCGGCAGTCGAGCCTCCATGAACGGCGGCGAGCGATACGTGCCCTCCATATCGTCCACGTCGAGCAGCCCGAACGCCGTCGTGTCTGGAAGGAGCAAAGGAGCCGGCTCGGGGGGAGTGGGTGCGTCGAAGTCGATGAGTCGGCCCGTGTCGACGATGGTGGTGTTGCTATGGCCCTCCTCACTGGCCTCGTGCGGGTACGGGTGCACCGTCACTGAGAGGTGCTCTTCCGGGAGTGGCGTCGGCAGCTGCGTTGGTGGCGAGAGCGGGGGAGAAGGAGAGGTATCGCGGGGTGTGCTGGGCTTGCTCTGCTGTTGGGCTTTCTTGTTGTTACGAGCATTGCGCGAGCGTTGGGGCATTAAAGAGTTGTTGTACGTGTAGTAGAAAGTCTTTGTCCTTGTTCTTGCGGTCGTGAAAGGAGAGGTGCGAAAGAAAGAGAAACAAGACCTGCTTTGTCGTCGTCAGTAACGAAAGAATACATCGACGACGTTGGTTGATATTGATAACGCACCGAATGAGTCAGATTCGTTAATCAACCAAAATCCAACTATCCAAAAGAGTATATTCTGGCCTATGCAACTAAATGCCAGACCAAGAAACGAGAGAGAAGTCGTGAGGGCGAGCGGGTGTTGTCGTATGAGTGAGTGGGCTGCTGCTGTGTGGTGAGCAGGAGCAAGGAAGGGCCTCAAGCGGTCCAACCGAACGTTATCTCGGCGCTGTCTCCCAAAATAGGAAGGTGGTCACACGGGTCACGCCACTCCGGCGGCTCCGCTTCGTGGTGTTTCTTGCGAAGTCCTACCTCCGTCTCCATCGTCGTGATCTCTACCAACATATTTCGGTCGTACTCCAGGCTTCGCTTTATTCTGTTGCTAGCTACTCCTCTCTCCAGTTTACCGTGCGTATCTCTCTCGTCCTCAGCGCAAATCAGCTTCATAAATCCTGTCAAACCTACGATTCACGAATACGGATGCCTCATTGTCCCAAAACAAACGGCTCTAGCGCTCCTCTCGTGGGCCACATTGGCGTTGTTCCTTTCCATTTCCTGAACGCTTATCCTTTCATATAGAACAAGGAAGCATTGATGGACACCTTACGGATCTTCCCATCTACTTATCGACGATGGCTGCGTAAAGCAGTTTGAATGACTCAATCGACGTCGTTTTGGCTCATCTTCCCGATTGGCCGCATTCGCTGAAGGAGGGCTGAAAGAAGAGAGACCACACGTGGTATAGCAAGAGGGAAATTTGAGATATCTGGTGTGTACATCATTTTGTGTTATCGCCGCACGATGAGTACTCTCCCATCGCGCCGGACCTTCGTATTATCAACTTCTGGGTTCCATTAAATCGCATCATTCACGCCCACATATCACCAGCCTCTTAATATCCTGCCGATCTTCGTCGCTGTCTTGACCGGCTTTCGATTCCATACTCGTCGCTCTTCGAACGTAATTCGCTCGTTTCTTTGGCCATATTCTCCTACTTGCCACCCGTATTCAATCCGATCGACCGAACGAGTAGCTCCTTTACTCATCGCCCTCTTGGCCTGATCTACCTTCGGCGTTGCAGATGTGTGAGGTCGCCCGTGGGTAACCCATGGGTACGGTATGAATATATGACTGCTTGTTCGTCTTGTTACTCGTTCTCTGACATACGCCCCTCCTCTCCGTATCCAAAGAATACGGGCAAGCATCTGCGTATCCCACAAGCCACCTACACCAATCCTGATCGCCCGGGGTACGACGAACTTATGAAGGAAAGAGCGGATTTTCCCCGGTACCTCTTCAGACATGATTCGCACTCGCACATCTACGTGCCGTTTGTTTATATTGTCTGTTTCTTGGTGGAGCGGGTTAAACTCGCTCTTCTCCGCCGACTCGCCTCGTCACCGATCACCCTTTCACTCCCATCTATCCCTCCATTCATATTTATTTCACGTCACACGTTTCCGGAAGTCGAACGCGGTTGACCAGCTGCGTAAAACAATCCGAACGCCTTAATTAACGTACTACGACATCCCATCTCTAACCCTCTCATCGCGGTCCTTCGTGACCTTTGTAATCTATCCCTTCATCTCTCTCTATCAGACCGTTCACCCCGATTATTCTGGCCAACTTTACTCTATTATTGTCTTTAACTCCTCTGAACCTCTTCATACGAACGCAGACAGTTGTCTCTTAACCGGCGTAATTCCCATTCCCAACAGTACCTCGCGTACACCCTTCCTCTGCATATCCTATCCTCATCTCAACTCTAGCGCGATCGCCTCGAGATACTAATGAGATCCTCGTTCGTCTCTGCAGTCTCTCCAACCTTCGGCATCACTCGGTATTACCGCTCACTCACAGTGGGCATCTACGTGCTGTCTGATCGTCTTGTCTGAGTCCTTGATGGTAGACTACCCTCTCTCTGCACCTGTCGAAGTATTGCTCGGGTGGAGGAGTGTTGGTAGTGTAATCCTCGAGATGAAGAACTCGTTGAACCCTTGGGGGATTCCTCGAGGGCTGAAAGATGCCCAAGTTGGGAGTCTAATTCTTCCGAAATATGGACTGGTCCACGGCTTGCAGACTCACATCCGTACCCCGCACTAGCAGTATCCATTATTGATGTCTGTGCTACTACTATCCTTACACATGCTTGATTTCGGGGCATCACATCCGTTACGTTCACTCGCGTGGAAGAGTATCGTCCGATTAGAAGGCAGGCCAGTAGTGATGATGAACGGTCAAGGATGTAAACGACTGCCTGGAGTTCGCTCTGCGGCGCCTAATAGGAATGATAAAGTGAAAGTATGGTCCGTGGCGTAAATTAGTCAAACGGGGCGAGAACGGAAAAATGGGACAGGTGAGAATCGCGACGGAGAATGAGCACTGTCTGCTGAACTTGATGGTCAACGCCACGAGTTCGCGATGGACTGTAGGCTCTGTAGGGCGAAGGAAAATATGTCAGTAAGGAAGAATCAAAGAGCTATGAATTAGAGATTTACCGAAGCTAATCGTCGCTCGTAGATTGTTTCTTCTCCCTTTCGCGCTTCGCATCATGATACGCTCTTGAATAGACTATCATATCACGCCTACCCTTCTCGTTATAATGGTTGGTAAGCTTGATATCGATGCCATCGGCGCGGAGCTGCTCGAAAACCCGGACGCTTCCTTCGTCGATGTAGAACCCGTCATCAAATTCTGGCAAGTGCGACACATGTAAGTCCCACCAGAACCTCTTCAGAACAGGCAGGCCGCGCTCTGCACGGTGTTGAGACGCCCTTGTTTTGACAGCCTTGGAGATGTCTTTCCATGTGAACGTGCCAGTCCAACTGTGTGGCCTATCTTGGGAAATTTCCATCAATGACGGCAGGAACCTCCGCTGTTTCAAGCCCCCTTCATCGTCCGCTAAGAGTTGGAAGAAGTTATCAAATGGGCAAACTCCCTTTATCTCGAGGCGTTCTAAGGTCGGTACGGCCCATAGAATGTCGAAAAGTTCAGCGCGGTGGTCAGAGTCGGAACTTAGGTGGATAGTGAGTGACTTGATGGGGCAAGAGGATCGCAAAAGGAAGGATACGTGAGGCGTCATCGAGGCATGGGAGCCGGAATAGAACAGTGAATTGAGGTTTGGGAAACAAAGGCCACCGAAAAGGGGAGATAAGGAGACATCCCATATTTCTATGTGGAATTTGATTAGATTGTGATGGACGACGGGGAGGTCTTGGTAATCGCTAGCGGCCTGGACGTCGTCCAGCAGACCTTCAAGTCGACATTCGCGGAGAAGAGGCGCTGCTTTTAAGAGCGCAAAGATTTCATGGGGCCGATAGAACCTGAGAAATAAATTAGTGACATTACACCAGTTTATGTGAATCCTCTGTGTTCTGCATTCTGAAATGGAGACTATGTGGGGAGCGGGGAGAGAGGTTCCTAAGTCGAACTTCCAATTCTGACTGCCTTCGTCATTGTCGTCATCGGGATCCGTGCCGCGAATCTCGAGGTGAGAAAGAAGGGGTTTTCCATTAAAGTTGCCCTTAAGGAGACCAAGTAGATGGATAGGCATCGCGACGGAAAGTTTGCGCCATCGATGACAGTGGGCGTTGAGAATTTCGATAATGGGGCGATACTGATTCTCGAGTTCTTCTCTGGTATAGTGCGTGAAGCTGCCGACTTGGAGGTCTATTGAAATCGGGTACTGAGAGGATCGTTGGAGCCAATGACGGAGCATGTCTTCATACGAGTACCGGCTTGAACGCGGGTACACTCGAAGGCGAATGGAGGCCCACAGCAACGGCGTCGAGTGCGCTATGACCTGCCACCTCTTAGAGACGGCAGACAGGACCAGCGGTATCCGTCTTTTGAATTCTTCACCGTCTACGCAGAAACAGAGGATTTTCGACGCTATTTCGATCGGGACGAGAGTTGTGAAAGGGTCGTGAAAGGTGTTGGCGCCACGGCGTAAGGCAGCACGGTGGGCTTTGAGATGCCTTATATATGCTCGTGCTTCTTCGATGTGCTCGTCCAGCGCCTTCACTTGGACACAATTGGGACATGGAACGGTCGTGGTGTTCCAAGATGTGCAGGTGACCTTCGGTTGCTTGGCGCCAAATTCACCATCTTGACCGCATATAGCGCACGAGGTATGGGCCATGAAGTTGGAGATTGACTAGCATAATTCATGGATTTGATCATCCATCGAGCGATTCGACGGAAAAAGGAAAGGCGCACCTTGGTTCGTGGTTGTTGTTTGTGTTCAAGGCGTGTTTCAGATTAGATGGATAGATTTGTCAGGATAATGGCAAAATAAAATATTTCTTCCTAGATTCCGACTGAAGTCGCCTTTATATACTTAGATTCTTTATCTAATCATGAATCCCCTGTTCTTCCTTTCCTTGCCGCATAGATGCGGAGGAGAATAGCGCCGACTCACTCTCAGCAAGAATCCATCCGGTTAAATACGAGACTAAGTGGCAGATTGCACCGTCATAGGTAGGGTTGAGCGAAGGAAGTTTTTTAGCCATAAAAGATGGCTGATGAGGGAGGACCCCAACACTCTTTCTCGAGACGAAAGTAAAGAATGGCTGTCGAATGCAGGATGCGAAAGGTTAGAAATAGGAGACGGGAGCAGAGTGAATGGTCAACGCTAGGCCGAAGCAAGCGTGACAATGGACATGAACATAAAGACCCAAATTTGAACGACAATGTTCGTCGGAAAGGGGTAAAGGATCGAAATGCAGACGGAGAAAAAGAGCTTAGAGACCGAAAGACGCGGGTTCCCACCGCCCGTGAGTCGATCGTTGGGAGGTAAAAGTAACAACGTACCTCGCAGCTCGTAGAGGCAAGCCAAACCGTGAGCTCAACGCTCCGTCATGAGTCTACGCAACAAAAATCGATCGAAGTTCGCCCTCCCGTTCGTCCTCGTTCAAGGAATCAATTCTACCATCGCGACTTTCACATTAGCAGCAGTTCCAACCCGCGAAGAAAGAAAACCACGTACTAAATCCCAAGCAGAGACCTATCCTTTCCAAACACGTTCCATCCGCATGAACAACCGAACGGCGGCTCGGCGAGGGCAATAGCGCAGCACGCGCAGGCCCAACCGTGTGCACACCTTCCTCCTCATCAACGCCGAGCCTTCCACCTCCGCCACGGACGCCGGCCATATTCTGACTCAAATCGGAGCCCCGAGCAGTGTGCCCCACTCGTCCGAGTTGAGGTCAAGGTCGAGAACTTCGTTGATAGCGCTGAGGTGTGCAATCCCATAACTGCAGGTCTGTGGGGTACGCGGGGATTAACACGCCTCTGTAAGGCGTTCATCAGCACGAGGCAAACGAAGAGAGGAAGATGCAAAGTATGATATGAGCCGCAGGATGTGGCTCGAAAAGAGAGAGAGCAATCAAGGAATCGACCGAGGCAGAACAGAAATCGTACGGGATACGAACAGAACCAGCCTCAAACCCAGAAAGGCGGCCGGACGAGAAAACCTAGGTGCAGATGAAGTGAACAAAACCGACGCTCGGCAGCTCTGATGGGAAAGCAGAAACAACACGAAAAAAAGGGATGAAACCGAGAAAAACAGAAGTAGGCGGAGACAAATTCAATGGGCATCGACATATGCGCGGAGAAGTTGAAGGCAGGCGTCAAGGACCACGAGGGGCGGATTGAATCAAGAAAGCCTCGCCGCAATCTCTCTCGAAGGAACAAGAGCCGAAAATACGCTTTTCAAAGCGGTTCGCCGACCAAGCTTCACGGCTAAAATTCATCGATGAGCGAAGACCTGGATAAACGAGAATGGCCGGCACAGGACTTGAAGAACAAGAAGGGAATTAGAATGAGCGCAGCGACTTAGGGTAATAGACCCTATACCGTATTATAGGCCCCAACGGTCGACGCTGAACGAAAGTAAAGATCGAAACTCGAGCAAAGGGGAAGGGGGACGAAAGGACAAACACCAAGGAACGAGAAAGTTGGAAATGGGAAGAGAACCCTCGAAACCACGAAAGGATGGGCTGGGCGACGAAGAAGTGCCAACAGATGGGGTCGGATAGGTCGGATATAGCACGGATAATACCGCAGTTCCTTGCAGCCAAATACTGGATGCAAAGTCGAACGTGGAACGAGAAGCGGCGCGAAATCGAGAGGCAGAGAGAGGGAAGTGTATGACCTCAACAAACGAGGGATGATCGAGTTCAAATGGAACACAAGAACGACGGCCTCCGTGCGGGAAGCGGCGAACATAACGTAGCGCAGAAAAACCAAAACGAAAGCACCAATGAGAAAGATAGAGTAGAGGCCGACGGAGGCGTCGAGAGGGGTGTGGGCTCGACGACGATGAAATGAAATACAGGTGGAAACATGAAAAATAATCGCCGAAACAAAGAAAGTCCGTGCGAAGGAGATAGGTCCATTTAAGAATTCACGAAGCCAAAAGTAGCAGCGTACAACACCAAAAAGAATGCCTAAACACGAAAAGTGAAAACCTGAGGCCGGTAAACGCACACCGTTCAGCGTCGGGCAAGGTGAAACCGAAAATAGCCCCAACCGCGCAGAGGGAGAGATAATGACTGGTTTTCAGCAAAATTTGGTACACAGAACACAACGCACTGCAATCTCAGACGAAGAAAAGGACGATCGTCGTCGAAGAAGACCAACGAGCGGTGTGGAGTCTAGCATGCAAAGCAGAAACTCCAGCGCTGAACGACCGACCAGAGCACAAAAAGGGTAGCCGAGGGGGAAGAGGAAATGCAGAGCATAGAACGCGAAAACAAGAGGCGGAAAGAGAAAAAAGGGACCACAGAGAGCATGGACGAAAGGCTCAGACGGGGCCCAAGAGCCAAATGAGAATGGAAACGCTTCATCGGCAGAGTGATGAACAAGAGAACGAGAGCACGAGAGCACGAAAAGGAAAATGCGAGCACCTCCGGAACCGGGGACGGAATCCAAGCGCACATCCTACCCAAGAATGGACGAACGACGAACGAGCAAAAGACTTCAAAGCATGAGTGTGAACACACATCACCCGCCCCAAGAATAATCAAAACCACGAAACAAAGGAAAGAGACTCACCTATCATCGATGCATCGAGCCCGTCCCACCGCGCCTACAACATCCTCCTCTCTCCCTCCTTGCCTCCCTCTCCCCCTACTCCCCCTAGCCCATCTCCACCTACAGCACCACCGCCGGCACCCCGCCTGCCAGCAACCCTCAGCCTAACCCCCTAATCGTCGCGCCAACCCGGAGCCCGTACCTCCTATCCCACACATAGCACACGTAACCGCGCTCGTCCGGCCCTGTGGGACGTCAAGCCACCGAATGCATTGGGCCTGGATCCGAGCATGCGGATGCGGTGGTGAAGCGGAGGGTCTGAGGCTCGTACGAGTGGAAGGGTTGGAACGTTGAAGGGCGAACGTCGGTGTAAGCGTTGGTGTCGGTGGTGAGAGAACCCTTGTACCGCTGAGGATGAGCATGCACGGGCTGGGTTGGTGGTAGCCATAGCCGTAGTCCAGCGGGGCTAGGATAGGGTGTCGGAAGTGTCGTAAGTCGCGAGTTGGTTCTAAAGTTGACGCGGATGATGCAGTTGCAGTGCAGGTGGTGATTTTGGAACCGTGTACTGCGCCGTTTGGGCAGCTGACGTTGTGCTTGGGGTCTGCTCCGTACTCCCTTCCGCGTCAATTCCTCAAGATCCCGCCCCAAACCTGAGCCGGAGGTCAACATCGACGACGCAGGTGGTGCAGAGGTTGGCGTACGGACACGAGACGGACGACTGGGCATAGGATGCGGGAGCAACGGGCGGCGAAGAACGACGCGGCACGTCACAAGACCTGCTTCATCGTCGTCGTCAGAAACGCAGAAAAGAGGGTAAGATGATAGCATTAATAACACACGAACGAAGCAGACTCGTCAGATCTCCTGTAACTTCAGCCATCCAACGTATTCCGGCGTGTTCACCTGAATGCCAGATAAAGAAACGAGAGCGAAGTCCATGTATGCGTGAGCGGGCTGCTGTCGTGAGCAGGAGCAAGAATCTCGACGCCGTCTCCAAAAATGGGAAGGAAGTCACACGGTCACGACGCGACGAAATTCTTGCCGTCTCGACTCTGGATCTGAGTCTCCATCGTCGTGATCTCTACCACTTGATTTCGGTCATGCTCCAGGTTTCGGTCCATTCTTTTATTATCTCTCTGGTACACTGCACGCGTTTCTCTCGTTACCACATCTCAAATCAGCACCATAAACCCTTTCAAACTCAGATCATCACCGGAGTGCTTCATTGTCCCAAACGAAAGGCTCTAACGACCTTCTGGTGGGTCAAATTCCCCTTTCATAATATTCTTCCATATTCTGCGAACATTTATTCTTTCATACAGGACAGGGAACAACGATCGTCGCTCTACGGATCTTTCCACTGGCATCTATCGATGTCTGCACGAATCAATCTCGATGACTTGGTCGACGTTGTTTTCGGCAGATCCCCACGCTCCGTGGCCATCATCGATGGGCATGGAGGGGCAAGGGACAGAAAGTGGGCTGAAATAAAGCTCGTTAGTGTCTGTTTTATTCTATGATGGGATGCCGGTGCGTACGGACTTTCCTTCGTTTGGAATTAGCTCAGTATTTTGTATAGTTGTCATCCTACCGTTCCCCTCGAACGCGCTCAATTTGGCCGTTCATGAACTTCAGGATCATGCGCCTCCTCAAACTACTTTGTTACACCCTCCACCCCCCGTATGATCGGCTTAGCATCCTGGCGACCTTCGCCGCCTCGACGGGCTTTCGATTAAACCCTCTCGTTATCGCCTCCTTATCCCACCTCGCACCCGCCTCGAGAAACCCAACAAGCAGCTCCTAATTCTTCCCCCCACGCACTGACTCACCTCGGCTTCCCCGATGTGTGAAATCGCTCGTGGTTGACCCCGACGGGAATTTAGCAGCTGCTCGTTCGTCCCGCTCGCGGCCGATCCTTTATTTCTTCGCATCCTATCGCTACAACTTTCCAGGAATGGTTCCTATCGTCTTGCCGGTCCTTTTATACCCTTATCCACCGTTCCGAATTCGAGCTTCAATCGGTATTTATCCCTTTCAAGTTCTCGGTGCCGATTTCCACAATCCACACCCAACCTACAACACTCCTGATCGCGTGCAGTTTGACGACAGAGAAAAGAATGAGCGAGCTGCACCCCACCCTGTTCAGACACGATTCGCTCTCGCACATCTACATGCGATTTATTCCTCTTGTCTGTCCTCTCGGTATGGTGCGAGCAACCGTTCTTTCCTTCCTTCCTCGTCCATCAAAACTTCCGCACCCCCTCACATCGTACCTATCTTTCACCCCGCACGGCTCAAACTTATCAGTCCCCAAGCACCGGCAGAATGTGACGAGAGGGCGTCTACCCCATGCTTACTCTACATCCTCGTTCGGAAGACGTTTGTTCTTCGAACACGCGTCGAGACCGAGAAGTGTCCGTCATGGCCCTGAATACGCTCTCTCGTCCTTGCCACGGATGCTTTATTTCCTATATTCTCCGCCCATTCTCGGCTTACACGGCCATTCTTTGAATTTGACCGTTCGTCGCCTCCCTCTTATCATCCTTTCTCTTTCCTCCCCCTTCGACAAGCAAGAAAAGAGCAGACTACGATGCTGATACTTCATCTTCTATGTCGATGCCGCATTATGTCAACTGCGGCGATCAGACGTCAAAGATATCAGTTGAATGTATTGTATTCTGCTCTTTTCGTCTGCGCGTTCGGAGAGGGGTATTGAGAGTGCTAACTGCTTTATACATTGGCCTCTTCGTGCTCTAGTCTCTGGCGAGTCGATGTCTCAACTCGCTTTCCGTTCAGCTCTCTTCACTTAGTACTCTCGTTGTCCTCCTCACCCCACCCCACATCCGCTTTAACCCAACGAGCAACCGCCCTCGTTCGCCTCTCCAGAGTCTACACTAAGTACTTACTTCCCGCCTTCGCCTTTGCAGAAGCTTGGGATCTCTCGGATGGTAAGGATGATTCCGTTAATGTGCTGTTCGTTCGCCCCTCCTTATGGCGGGTCCGTAAGCTTTATTCCACCACCTCTTGTCGCGATGAATTCCCAGGAACGACGCACGTCATCTCCGAGCTCCTACTCTGATCGATATCCTTCCCCACTGTCCTGAATCCAAGTTTCGGTTGGTATTCCTTCCGTCTTTCAGCGGGCATACATATATCCTTCTACACGGAAGTGCGCGTTCCGCGTTTGAACTCTCAGATCCCAGATTCAACCGGCCTCATCCCCGTCTCTTCCACTCCACATTCACTCCACCCATGCCCACTCTTGGTCGTGCCCGATTCGACATATAAGAGACGGAAAGAACGAACTGCGCCCGCCCCTTATCAGACACCATTCGTGCTCACATCTCTATATGCCGTTTGTGCGTCTTGTCTGTTCTCGACGACCTAGTTGAACTTCGCTCTTTCCATCTCGCCGCACCAGTCAGAGTATTCCCACCGCTCCTTCAGTGTTCACCTTGCACCCATCTTGCATCGGGTTTATCTCAAGTGATGTGACCTTAAAGCTCCGCGGGATACGGCCAAGAGTGCGTCTATGCCTATGCTCACACCTCGTTCGGAAGGTGCGTTGTTCTCGAACACTCGTCAGGGTCGAGAAATGATTCCCCCTTCGTGATTGAAATGAGGTCTCTCGTTCTTCCTGCGGCCTCTTGGTTTCTTGTATACTCGAGGAGACTCAGAATTTAAATGATATTATTTTCTTTCCGCGTATAATCTTGGTATAACGTAGCCACAGTGACTCAATCAACCCGGTCCTGCTTTGGGTCCATCAGCCTCTGTGGAGGGCAAGACAGTGTCTTCGCGCGTGTTAATTGGGGAAATTTCTCGGATTCTTGGCCAAACGGATAATTTCATCATTATTTATTTATTTATCTTGATCTAATAATCTAATCGAGTCACCAACTCACCTTGAACACGAACGACGACCAGGAAGTAAGGTGCGCCTTCCCTTTGCCCTCGAACCGCTCGATGGATGATCCATTTCCTTCTATTGTACTAGTCGATGACTCGATCTCCAAAGATGGGTCATTTCTCGTGCATTATCTGCGGTCAAGACCGTGAATTCAGCGCCAAACAACTGAACATCACCTGCACATCTTGGAGGACAACGACTGCTCCCTGCCCCAATTGCGTTCGGACCAAGACACTGGACGAGCATATCGAGCAAACCCGAGCATATCTGAGGCATCTCGAAGCTCACCGTGCCACCTTGAGGCCCGGCGCCAACGCCTTCCACGACCCTTTCATCACGCACTTTCCGACAGAAATTGCTTCAAAAATCCTCTCTTTCTGTGTGGATAATGAGCGGGAATACAAACGGCGCATCCCTCTCGCCCTTTCCGCTGTGTCCAGACGGTGGCAGGCTATAGCGCATTCGACCCCTTCGTTGTGGACCAACATTCGTCTTCGTCTATTCGGCAAGTATGAGAACCGGGTCTCATACAACGAGATGCTCCTTCATTGGCTCTCACGTTCATCCAAGCAACCACTTTCTATCTACCTCGACATGGAATACTGCCGCAGAGACGAGGTGTCCAAGGTCCAGTTTTGTCGCTCTGTCATCGAACTCCTCAACATGCACTGCCACCGATGGGGTAGACTCTCCGTTGATATGCCCCTTCATCTCATCAGCCTCCTGCGGGGCGACTTTCACAGTGACCCCCCTCTATCCCACCTTTCTATTGGTGGCGAGGAATACGACGAGGACGAGGATGAGGACCAGGACAACAGTCAGACCTGGAAGTTCGACTTGGGAACATCTCTTCCCAGTCCTCACACAGTCACGATTCACCAGTGTGGATTCGACAAGGTCCGCATAAATTGGTGTAACGTCACTAATGTGTCCATCTGGTTCCCTCGACTTCGCGACTTGCTCACACTCTTGGCAGCAGCACCTCAACTCCACGAATGCAGAGTAGTTCGACCGGACGGATTCGCCGAGGCAACCAACACGAATCCAACGAACCCCATAATCCATCGCAATTTACTCAAACTGGACTTAACAATATGTGGGTCTCGCATCGTTCTCTGTCCGTTCCTCCTGCCCATCAGATCACTTGCCTCAGATTCTCATTCCGACCACCGCGCCGACCTGTTCGATATTCTACGGGCAGTACCAGCCTTAGAACGCCTCGACATAGCCGGTGCTTTCATATTCAACAACTTCTTCGAACTTTTAGGGACCGACGACGAAGAGCACAGATTCCTACCGTCGTTGACGGAATTTGGTCAACTATGTCCTCTATGGACAGAGGAATTCTCGTGGCCGGATATCTCCAAGGCTGTTGAAGCAAGGGCGCATCCTCACCGTGGAAAATGCGGCCTGCCTGTTCTCAAGCGGTTCTACTGGGGCGTGACCTTGGAGGACGAGAATTCAGACATATACTACATCGACGAAGAGAGCCTCCAGATTTTTGAGAGGCTGCTTTCAAACGGTGTCGACATCAAACTCTCCAACAACTGGAGAAAGCGTGGCAGGTCAGATGATATGATAGTCTATTCAAGAGCATATCATGAGGAGAATAAGCATCGATCAACGATCGACGATTAGCTTCGGTAGGTCTCTGATTCATGTCCTTTTGATCCCACCTTCCTGACGTATTTTTTAGTCTGTCGCCGTCTCCCCCTCTCGCGCGTTTGAAACTTGGCCAATTTACTCGGCCAGCTATTATACCTTTTCATCCGAGTATTCATTCTGCGCTCTGCCCACCAATTTCCCCGCAAAGTTCTGATGATCCCACGACGTAGAGAAGGATTCATACAATACACGAACGGAAAGAGGATCTAACTTTGAAAGAGAAAGGCTGACCGAAGAGAGTGGGAGGATATGAATGCAGTGAATCGAATCGAATCGACTCTCGGCGGTTCTAACGGGAAAGTAAACACGATACGGAAAAAGGGGGTCAAATTGGAAGCAATCGTCAACCGCGAGGAAGAGCAACTTTAGTCAAGAAAACAGGCCACGATCTAAAGAAGCATGAGAGACGAAAGTACGTTTCTCAAAGCGGATCGCCAACCAATTTTCACGGGTGAAATTGAGAGATGAGCGAAGATCCGGATATATGAGAACGGTCAGACGCAGGATTTCAGTAAGAAGGGAATTCCAACGAGCACGGCGACCGTTAGTCGTTGAGAAACACCGAAGAGAACAATACGAAAAGAGGCGGGCGAAATCACCCATACTCAGGGCCGAAAGCACAGAAAACCACGGAATCATGGAACCCTCGGGGGGCAACGGGCGGGGATGAGTCACAACAAGGACAACAAGAGATAGAAGGGATTCGAAATGAAGTCCTTCCATGATAAATGCAAACGCAAGTGAGAAAGATAGAGTGGAAATCGACGGAGAACTTCAGGAGGGACCTCGAGATGAAACATGGATGGAGCAAATGGCGAAATAGGGTTCGCGGCGCGAAGTCCAAGGACTTTCCTCGAAGAAAATAGGGCCGTTCGAGAATCCCAGGAGCCAATAGTAACGGCGTATAGCGCCAAAGAGAATCGTGAAACATGAAAAGAGACTCGGAGAAACTCGAGGGTAAATGCGCAACGTCGAGCAATGCGGACATGAAACGCAGCTTCAAGAGCGCGAATCGCACAGGCAGAGAGAACTCCAGCAGAAAGGCACCAAACGAAATACGGGAAAAGTCGCGAAGCATATCACACGCACGGAGCTTGGACGAGGAAAATAATGGAGGTTGATGAAGCAAGCGAACGAGCGGCAGCGGAGACTTGAACGCCGACAGACCACATTATGAAAAGGGTACCCTAGAACGCGAGAACGGAGATGGGGGGCGTAGGACGTCGAACGTCGAATGTTCGAGATAGGACATAAAAAGACAACGAATGAGCAGCGAGGAGCACGAAGGAGCGGCCCGAACGGGGCCCCAAGAACAACGTTCGAATGGTTGTGCTTCAAAGGCAAGGCGGCGAGCGAGAGAATGGGACCACGAAAACGAAACGGGAGCGTCTTCGCACACAGGAACGAAGTCCGAGCGCGCATGCGGTCCAAGAATGAAACGAACGAACGAGCAGAAGCACCAAAGGACGAAGATGAAAACTTCCTCTTTCGCGCGAGAAGAGAGAAAGAGACGACTCACTCATCATCCAACTCATTCCAGCACGCCGACACGATCCTTGGCTTCTCGCCTCCTTCCACCCCTCGCCTTCCTGCTTGTACCCCTCCTACCCCACCGCCCGCCCCGCCTCCCGCCCCCTAACGACCCTCTACTCAATCTTCCTCACCGCCTGGGACAACCTGGAGCCCACACCTCCCACAACGCTGGTAGGCCGAAGAAAGGATGTCAAGTCAACCGAACAACCTCGAACTTGGGTTTGACGCTGCTGTTGAGTGTCCTGAAGCTGAAACTGAGCGTGCGGATGCTGAGGTCGAGGTAGAGCAGGGGGCGGAAGGGTCGGAAGGCGAATGTTGATATCGTAGACCTGGGCCCCAACGGTGCAGATGCACATAGCGAAGAGAGGGAGAGATATCGACCATTCACCAGCAAAAACCCGTACACAGAGCATGCAAGAAATGGGCGAGTCGGGAGGTGAATCACAACGCACTGCGATCTCACGAAGAAAGGGGTAGTGGTCGTTGAAGACCGGCGAACGGCATGCACTCTAAAGTCGTGCATGCAGAGCAGAAACTCCAACGCCGACCGATCGACCGGAGCACGAAAAGGGTAGCCCAGAACGAAATGGCGGAGTGTAGAGCATAGAATGTGAAAGATTCGAAATAAGAGACGGAAAAATAAATCGCCGATGGAGGGCATGAAGGAACAACTCGAATGGGCACCCAAGAGGAAAATCAGAATAGCAGCACTTCGAAGAAAAAAAACAAAAACGATAAAGCAGGAACGAAACATCCTGCTCAAGGACGGGTGAGCGAACGAACGATAAACTCCAAAGCACAAAAGTGAAAACATGGAGAAAACGCATCACCCGCTTCAAGAAGGACCAATACCACGAAACACAGTAAAGAGACTCACCTCTCGATCATGGCGTACATCCCACCGCGCCGATACGATCCTCTCCTGCTCCTACCGTTCCTTGCTTTCCCTCTTATCCCCCTCCTACCTCGCATAGCCGAACAGCACCACCACCTGCACCCAACCCGCCAACAATCCTCGACCCAACCGGCCTAATCTCATCGCCTGCGTCGACCCAGAGCGCGTACCTCGTAGCCCCATATGCGACACATAATCGCGCTGGCCCGGCTCAGCGGTGCGTCAAGTCCACCGGACACTTCGAAGGCAAAGTCGGCACCAAATTCGTATGGCCTGGACCGAGGCATGCAGATGGTGAAGTGGAGGGAGGGATTGAAAGACGAATGTCGGTGTCGTGTTGGTCTCGGTGTTGGTGCTGAGAGAACCCCCGTACCGCTGAGGATAAGCATGCGTTGGCGGGGGTTGGTGTTAACCACAACCGTAGTCCAGCGGGGTAGGGTAGGATGTCGTCAGTCGCAGGTGGGTCCTGAAGTTGACGCGGACGATGCAGTTGCGGTGCAGGTGATGATTTAGGAACCGTGCCCTGCGCCGTTTGGGTAGCCGCCGTTGGGCTTGGGGTGTGCTCCGTACTGGATCCCTTCCGCGTCAATTCCTCAAAATCCCGCCCTAAATCTGAGCCAGAGGTCAACATCGACGACGCAGGTGGTGCTGGTGGTAGTGAGCAAGAGCGAGAATACGACCTCGGCAGCATCACCGAAAATGGGAAGGAACTCACACGGTCACGTAACGGCGGCTTTCAATCCACCTCCGTCTCGATCTTTGAGACTCGTACCACCGTATTCCCCTCCTACTCCAGTTTGCTTTCTATGCGTTCTTTTTATTTCAACTTGTCTCTCCCTTAGAAACTACGTCTCGTCACCGCGTCGCAAATCATCTACGTGAACCCTATGAAACTCACTACCAAAAAATTTGGCTCTGATGTCCTTCTGGCAGGTTATCTACCCTTCTAAGTTCTTCCTTTCTCACTCTTTAGACTTATTCCATCATATATAATACGGTATCGCCGCGTATCTTCCCACCTACCATCGAAATAGCATAAAGCAGCCTCGATAGCCTAACAAACGTCATGTCGGCTGCTTTTCAGGTTTTCACCTTCGTAAGCGTCTTCGGACACGGAAGAGAATAGCAGACCAATTGGGGTCTGGGAAGAGGATGGTAAATGTGCTGTATCTGGTGGCAGGGTATCTGGTGCGTAGCGTGTTTTATCTTATCTCTGCACGATATTTTTCCATCATCTCGTCAATCCAGTTCGACACCACGACAACGCGTATCGGTCTCCAATGGTCTCATCGTGGACCATCCTGGACGTTAGGGTACTTCCACCTCTTTCAATCGCACTCGAACCCCAATCATGATAGGTTTCTTAGTGCTCTGGCGATCTTTCTGGCTGACTCGAGTCGCTTTCGAGTAGATACTCTTCATTCCTTGAATACGACGAGCTCCCTCTCTCTCGTTATCATCCCTCAATCCCTCCCCGCATCCGCCCCAAGAAATCCAACGAGCAGCTCATTCGTTCGTCCCCCCACGCACTGATATACCTCCCGCACCCCTCGCGTGAGGATCGTTCGTGGGCGGGTGACTGCATTCGGCCTACTTGTTCCTCCCCCTCGTGGCCGGACATTTATTTCACCCCCATCGCTCTAAATCTCCAGGAACAACTCCCACCGTCTCGCTGGTTCTGTGACATCCCTCTCTGTCACTCCACCGTTCCTAATTCATGTTTCAATTGGTATTTATCCCTTTTTCGCCGGCGTGCCTCCTTCCGTATTTAAGTTCTCGCTGCCGATTTCCACAATCCACACCCGACCTGCAACGCTCCTGATCGCCTGTGGCTTGACGACAAAGGAAGGAAAGAGCGTGCGGCTCTAGCTATGTCTTCAGACGTGATGCCCACTCGCACACATGCGTCCTGTTCGTTCATCTTGTCTGTTTTCTCAGCGTGATGCAAACCTTCGCTCTTCCCTTCCCGCCTTAGCCGTCGAAGCTTTTACACCCCACCTCGGGCCTATCTTTCACCGCGCACGTCTCAAACCTGTCAGCCCAATAAGCAGCAGCAGAATGGGACGAGAGGGCGTCAACACCATGCTCACTTCACATCTCCTCGTTCGGAAGACGTGTGGTCTTCGAACACGCGTCGAGGCCGAGGAGTGGTCCTTTCGGGGCCGGAACATGTTCTCTCATCCTTCTCGCGGCTGCTTCGTTTCCTGTGTTTTCCCCCCCATTCTCGATTCAAATGCCAGCCACTGATAATTCACCGCCTCTGCCTTTTCGTCATAAGAAATCCACTGTTGTTTCGCGTCTTCTCGCCCACCACCGTGCCATCCCTTAAGTTGCTCGTCTTTCTAGTCAAATTCTTTCATAAATTCGGGATCTATCTTTCCAGTTAGACATGCTTTTCGCCATGCCTTGACGTCAGACAGACTTCAACGCTCTTGCCGTAGAATTTTCCCCAGAACGTGCTCATCGTGTTGGGTAGCCTCCCGTTCTTTCAGAAGCCTCATCGCGCTTTCCCAGGGCTAGCGACATTACTTGGCGGTTTGCTGCCTTGGGATTCTACCATTGCTAATCGGACTAGACGTCAAGTGGAACAGTAGAAGGGGCGTCTCTGGCTCTCAGACGGGCTGCATTTAAAACTCTCTACATCTCGGGCCGCGGCCCGCCATCTGATAGGACAGCGACATCGAAGCTAGATGAAAAAGCGGATGACGAACGAGGAACAGTAACAGAGAATACGGGAGGAATAAACGACCGTGAAGATGAAAATGGGGGAAGACACGAAGAAATCGGTATTATGGGTATCTTACCTTCCAACAACTTCTTATTGCCATGCCCTCGGAGTAGTCCGCACCGCCGCCTACGGAGTGGCGCAACGAGCTCGCTTTATGAGTCTGACGGTGGTATGATCTGTGGGATTGAGGTTGCTTAAAGGAGAAAGCGCTGTCGAGCGCACGCAGAGAGGTGGCCCTTGCCGTGAGTGAGGATATAAGTTGCTCGGAGCGTAGGAGACGACCAGGGTGGAATGATTGGTCGAAAGGGCAGACCTCGCTGCCGACGTCCTATTGAGTTGGTCGGATGAAGCCCACTGTAGTGAGTAGCGGGCAAGGTATCTGTATCCGTGTAAAGTTGGACATCGGACTATCGGCCCATCTTATCTTATCGTCCAATGTTGACGTTGAACTCCGACATATTCGAGCTCTTTCTCTCCCACCATCTCGCCTCGCAGACATCGCTCTTCCATTCATCCCTGTCACTATAAACTCGCCCACTTACCGCTTACCACTCATATCATCGTTACACCACAATCTGTCTGGCTCAAGGGCACCGGTCTTCCGTCTTCGAGCATCGGCACGCGAACATTCTCTCTGCCCTGGAGGGGAGAGCCCCCAACACGAAGGGACTGCGCCCGCACTTCGCCATCTATCCCTCTGGGCCCTTTTTTACAAGAGCTTGGGTCCAGGGTTTCTGATCGCCTCTCTGGTTCTCGCCGTTAATGTGTCCTCGACGAGGAAGGGATCGACTTGCCACTTGTACTTACATGGCGTCCAGCACTGTGAATGCTTTAAGTATCGAGCCGCGGAGACTATCCATGCACTAATGGCTTTAAAGTTGTTTCCCTTCCTCCCTCGTAGGACCGTTGGAACGAGATGTGTCCGTCCTCGGCCTCAGTTGTCGTTTTTTCTCTCGCTCGCGTCCGCGGTCAATGTTTTCGGCGTCCTCTTCATACTGTTCGTTCCTGCCACTCATTGAAGGATATTATTATCCGCGTACCGTGGATAAGGCGGCGAGCTCGTTTCGTTTCATCTGCGAGGACGAGAATTAACGTCCGGAAACAGCGGGGCTCCTACGTGTTCGACGAATGCCTCGACTCGACGATTGACTAGAGCCAGGAGCTAGGTTCTGGCAGGGCCTCGGACACTAGACGTGGCTCTGAGTATGCTTTTGAAGCTACTCTACAACGAGCTCGACTCTCGAGTTGCTGACTATAAACGTGGAAGATAGTCCGGTCCGGCAACATCGTATAGACCCAAAGTACGAGACGCCAAGTGCCCGAAGACTGAAGTGCTAGCGTTGTACGTACGTACGTGTACCTTACATACTCTAACGTCTAACGAAAGCCAGTCCGGCAGAATCTACGTAGGATCCATGTCGAACCCCGAACCCCGAACCCTAGATCCTAGATCCTAGTGCGAACCCTCCCCTCCGCCGACGACTCCGAACCGTCCAAAAAGCGTCTCGCCCACGCCCAAGCCCAGGATGATGGAGAGGATGTACCCGACGTTGTACGTCCTATTAGGGTTCAGAATGATGTCAGCATAGCACAATAATCCCCAACGATTACGGTGCCATAGAAGGATGGATGGTAAACGTTAAACGTGAACACGTACATGACGACGAGCATGAACGCGAAGCCTAACGCCGCTTGGAGTGCGTGGATCGCTCCCCGGGCGAGAGAGTGTGTGAGGATGAACGAGGGTGCAATGTGACTAGTGGGAGTGCCGACGAGGAATCCGATGTTGAAGGTCGGCGTTTTGTCTGGAACCGCAGCGCTGTCGGCCGACGATGAAGCGGTGGTGTAGCTCTTCTCGAGTGCGTTTGGGCTTGTGGATGTCGCCCGGACGTGGGCTCTATGAAAGAGAGGGTGAGGGTTTAGTGAGATTGAGAGACGACTATTAAGAGTAGGGTATGCAGAGGGACGCACCGGTACCTCCACACCACCTCCATCCTCCCCCTCATCGCCGCAACCAACCGCTCCATAATCGCCAGGACGAACAGCCCAATACACGTCCCGACGATCGCGCCTGCGCTGCGCGGCACCCAGCCTAGGAAGAAGATCGTGTCTACCCCCGGGGTGAAGTGGAGGTAGGGCACCATTGATGCGTGTGCAGAGCTGGCGGAGGCGGGGGTAGGGGCGACAACAGCGGCACCGAAGGAGGAGGAGGAGGAGGAGGAGGAGGAGTCCCCATGGGCGAGTGCGACGGGGAGGAACGATGCAGCTACTACAGACAATGACAACGAAAGGACCAGCCTGGTGACGCGGAGGAAACGAGTGAGGGTGGAGGACATGCCGGTATGGGTATGGTACGTCGACTTGAATGGGGTACTGGTTGGTAGAGGTGCAGAGTAGAGTACTCTATGTGGGCAGCCCTCGAGCGACGATGGGCACTGTCAAAGTGCGGCTTGCTAGCTTGAAAGAGGGCGCTACTGCTGGGATGCTGCACCTGCATATTTAAGTTGCGAAGGAGTGTGTCCGAAAAGGCCGCGAGATGATGTAAAATGAATGCAAGTCCGAAGAAGTCGAGGGGCGGGGGAGGAACGATAGCTAGGCAACGGTCGAGATAGTAGCCAAGAGTGAAGAATTCGAAGGAAAGTATTATAATTGAGGTATAACTTAGTTACTTACGACGAGTGTATTGACGTACTGTAAGTACGTTGGCCGGATATCAGTGACACATCGACTATCATTGTGGAACTATTAGGTCTGTCTAGAGAGACTAGTTGGCCGGCCCCCTAGGGTCAGAAAGGTCGAGTTCTGGGCAAGGTCGACAAGATAGGATAAGATAAGATAAGATAAGACACCGAGGAGATCAGCGATGACGCATGCCTCAAGCGCCCCGTGCCTCGAGGGAGACGAGTCCCTGCGTTTCAACGACTCTGAGGCCCCGTCTCTCGCCTGTTCCTTCCTCTGCCCATCCCACGCTCCATTCATTTCTCCGCCTCCCCCGCCACCTACCCTCGCGAACACTCAAGCTCCTCCAGCCGCATCCCGTACTGTCATGTCCGTCGTCGATTCGTCAGAAGACATCCGCTGTCCGGACCTCATCCTCTCCTGGGGTGTGTTCCGCCCATCAACCCCGTCTCGAAGAACCAGAGACACAGGACTCAACCGAGCCCCGGCTCGTGCAATGCCAGTGAGACGACGACGAGGCGAGGCGACGGCTCTGGAGACGTTCGCCCGACGTGGAAGGATGGAGGTGAGGTGCGTGTTTGATACGTTCGCGAGAGAGATTTGAGATCGTTAATAACTTCTCCTTAGGCTGTGGGCATACCGCCTCGTAACTTCGTCTCTTTGTAGCCCGCCGATCTTTCCGTGATGAGGCCGTGGACTGGGCATACAACGTGCATAGACGTGGACGAGCTATCGGCACGGCGTTCGCGGAATCGTCGACCTTCCGCTGACTCTTTCCACCCCTCCCCTTCGTGTATTAGAATGGTTCTGGTGGCGAAAACACGAAAGCTCGAAGATTCTGTGGGATCTGCCGTACGTTGGGGTCGTTGACGAAGAGTTTCCCGAAGGAGCAGAAGAGGCGGAAAGCTAGCCGATGATCTGGTGAAATCCTAGGTGCATATTCGAAACATTCGTACTCATTGTACATGCGACGCTGACCGAGCCTTTCTCCCTCAGGCTTTCCTGTGCGTAAAGTCTATCGACTTCCGCCATTACGCCTTTCCGGCCCCCATATATGCACCGTCGCGCAGCTAGTTAGGAGCGCTGTGGGACGTTCTGTGGGATATGTCCTACGCTCGACGCAATGCGTACCTTCCTCAAGGTCGTCTTGCTCGCGTCTATCATCCTTTCCCGTTCTGCCCTGCCCACCGAATTCTCTGGCTCGTTAATTATCCTCCCTCCATCTCTGACAGCGCTTGCTTCAGGAGTTATCCACTATCACTCAACTTGATGCGAATTAGGCCTCTCCTTGACAGACGCGCAGGCTGATGGGTAAGCGCCGATGCCATTATCTACCTGTGCCTCGAAGACTCAAATTTCATCTCTAGGACATCTCGTTGGGCTGTAGCGAGTCGGACGAGTAGAAGAGAATCGGGTCGCGGCCGGGGTCGGTTCATCGCGTCGATTTCTTTAAGTCGTACGCAGCTAACTCTTGTTCCTTCGGTCCTTCCGCGCCAATCTGGATTCTAAGTCTACGTATACATCAGTGCACAGGCTTCTGGCGACGTGGGACGGTTTGTCTGTTCGTTTTCGTTGTGATGACAGGTCGAAGAGGGATGGGATGGGCGACTTGCTAGTTTGACGAAGTAGGACGTTCGTCCGCGTGTACAGCGCCTGGTACGTAATATCTCAGGTGAGGTATTCGATGTGGGTATCTTAGACGTTACTGATATGATAACTTCATAGTGACTACAAGTCCCCGGGACCATGGACGCCCACCGCCAGTGGAGCTCCCATAAACGTTTAAACTCCCATCGTGAGCCCAACCTCCGCGTATGGTAAGCCCTCGACGTCCGACCCTCGTCTCCTGATACGGGGTTGTTGGCGCACGATATAAGTACGGCCGCTCGCAGGATCGCCACGGTTTCGTTCGTTGAAGTTTCCGAGAATTCATATGAGTAGGGGAAGAAAGGGCCTGCGTCTCGAATTTGAATTTTGGCTTGATCCCGGGTAAGCGCTGTCGTATCGACTAAGCATGCTTGTTGTGGAACGTGGGTCTCAAGAAATAATCAGCGGCTGCGTGCTTTTTGACGTATGTGTCTCTCAGCAGTTTACTCCGACAGTTCAATCACACACTCCTCCTCATTCCCCTCGGCTATGCATGAGACGTGGCCGCTCTGCTATTAATCAATTCAACGGATGGCGGAATGAGCATCCAAGCCTGTACCACCTTGCTCAGGCTGTTGGAGTAGGGAGGTACGAGGGTTGACGTTGAGAGCGTCAAAGATGGGGGCAGGCTGGTCAAACGAGGGGTGGGATGGAAGGTGTGTCAATTCCTCAATCTCGTAGTTCTTCCGTTGTTCTGATTCTCGTTGCACGAGAAGATTCAGACGGTCAGCTGAATCTCTCGACCTTGTCCGTGAGTTGCAACTCGCGAGTATGTTGGCTTTTTTTTCTCGTTATTTTTCTTATAATTAATACGGTCATATTGCCTTTGCAGGTACTTGGCCTTCGGCTGAATCCGGGCCGCCGTCGTCTCTCGGTAGTACCGCCGTTTTGTAAGTCCTCTCCTTTTTTTTCTTATGATACTTCCGTAAATTTCTATTTGAGATGATGTCCTTCCCACTTGAAGGTCGCTTCAACCATCTCTTCTCTCCGAGGTCGGGTCCGCAAGAGCGCGTTCAACCTCTTAGAGATGTTGTCATACTTAATGGTGATCGAGCTAGCCTTCCCGCCCGCCTACCTGCCCGATGCCACCTAACATCGTCCTGAATCCTGATAGCACTCAAACGAACGCGTGCACGACGTACATCACTATGCTCACGAATCAGGATTGTCTTCAGCTATAGCTCGTTTTCGCGGTGGTGCGATAGATCACGAGCCACCGGCTGGGCTGAAATCGTACTGGGTCTTGCAGAAGAAGAAAAAAAAGTTGGTACATAAAAATATCAACGGGTTCGAGTTCGATCGAAGGACTTGGGAACGGGAAGGAGCAAGGGCATCTCCACTCCGACTAGCTTTTAAGTACGTCGTGATTTCCACTTGTATTCGATTCCTTGAAGTGACGTTAGTCTCAAAATACTGGCGGACTTGCCGAGGCAAACGGTCGAATCGCTCATTCTATTTGGACTCAACTTTTCTGGGCTTTCCGTTTGGCTTGAGAAACTAAATGAAGTGCCCACTGTCGACCGTTTATCCTTGGTCTCCCTTTGTATTGAACTTAGGTGGGACCTGAGGCCTGAGGCTCGACGAACGATATTTGACGCCTTAGGATGCGATGGTAAGTTTATCGTTCTCTCTTCGCTCCTATCAATCAATCACGTATTCGAATTTGTCGTTCAGCCCCTTCAGTGGCCTTTCAAGTGGCCTGCCTCCTCGCTATTGAGTTGTACGGTTATAACCCATGTATACCCGTTTATCTACAATTTATGTCCCTCTCTTTGACCACGCCTCTGTGCAAATTGCCATGAATGAGATAAGATCGAGAAGGAGGCATGGAAGAGGAAGTTGTAATCGACGAACGGGCCTGGGAGTTGATAGAAAATGACCGACAGAAATGTTGCACGAATGAGATCGACACGATGGTCGAGAGAGCAAAGAGGGCGCGGTCTTCTCGGGGGACCCTCTCCATACGAGGCATCCAACGGCCCGAATATCCCGACGTCCCTCCTCTGTTCGTCACCACCATCATCTTCGTCCAATTCCTCTCATTAGCGTGCTGCTCCGACGATCCTCCCCACTCATCCTCAGATCTGCGATGCCTACAAACTGAAGGCTCTGTAGCCGCCATCTCAGCTTCTGAAGATCTTTCTCTCTCGTTCTTTCTTCACGACCGAGCAACTCGAAAATGTTGAGGCTCGCGATCATGAATCCCTACCCGGAAAAATGTTCTCATTGAGGGAAGGGGTTTGTGGACTCTTCTCTTTGAATCAAAATCCGTAGCTCTGACGGCCCTCTGAAGAGCCTATAGGCCTAATTCTCTTCTGGAACGGATGCCTCAGCGCAACTTTCGATGGGTCACTCAGCGCTTTTGCCTGAATAGACGTGTCGTGTACCACACCCAACCTTAGCCGGGTAGGATGGAGCTGGACCGCCGAGACACGCTCTTCAGGTACGTTACGTCTCTTCTCGCCCCCGAACCCACCCTGATCACCCTCTTTGCGGTTCTAAAGTGAAGTGAGGAACGAATGAAAGGATAGAACTAAGTCTTCGAGCGAGTGGCGGGCGGCACGTGACGCTCTCTGCTTCGTGCCACCACCATCTCGCCTCGAAGGCTTGCTCAGCCTCAATGCCGCCCCTCAATGGCCGCGTTGAGTGCTTCAAAATCTCACCCACCCACCACTCCCTCTTGAGCTGCCTAATAGCATATTATATTGATGCTTCAGCCTCTCGTGAGGACCCATTTCACAAGCGGAAGACATTGACAAGGCCTGACAAGGCTCTGAACGGGCAGCTTAGCAATCCCGCCCGCCCGTCTCCGCTCGTCTCGAAAAAGGTCCCCACGATGGGCTGGAAGGCACTCCGTGCCTCGCCCACAATCTAGCTAGCTACGCAGGCAGTAATTAACCTAGTACTTAGCTACACAAGAAAAGTGCTAACCAAACGAACCTCAAAGATAAACCAGTAGATGACGCATCACCGACGTCTATCCCAGAGGTCTTTCGCTCGTCAGCACCTGCTACGAATACCAGCATGAGACGCCTTCCTCTCTTTTTGCCACAATCGCCAACGCAATTTTGGGATGGACGTCGGTGGGATTGCGCTATTGCTGCGCTGCACCATGCACCACCGTTGTATCTATCTCCCGTACGAACATAAAACTTTTTCGCCTCATACATCCAGTTTGCCCACTCCCAACCGGATGCTGGCCGTACGAGAACAAGAAACAGCAGTACTATGCTACCATTATTTCCTGCCGTTCCGAACTTCCAACGTTTGACCCCCAAGATGCAATCACTCCTCGGCACCTGCTGCGAATGCCGCCATAGAGTGCCTTCCTTGCGCGGCGCCGCAGCCTCGTAAAAATGATTCGGGATTGCGTACCGTTCCAAACTTCCAACATTGGGCCCACGACGCCGACTTCTTTTCGCCTCAGCGGATCTTCGACCCTAAAGTTTCGAAGTCGACGGTCACTGATCAAGTCTCATCTGGATCGCGAAGAATACTTCTAACGATGGATGCTTCTGCTAGGCTAGAGAAGAGAGAAGAGCTCACGAATGGCATCTATATCGTAGATCGGGCGTTCTGGTGAGTCAATCTTTTTGCTTCCCTTTTGAGGCCCTCTTCTAAGGTCGACTTTCGTTAGACAATACTGTACTCTTCGTACAGCGGCGGCGCTGGCAGCGGGAGTCGCGTTGGCCTGAAACGCAGATGTTCAACCGCATCGATTGGAACCGATGCGCCCGCGATCTGCATCCCACCTCAAGCATCGTTCAAGCTATTTCAGCCCCGCCGCCTGCAGTACCACTCGAGTTACGGCGTATAGATACTCGCGGCGGTCAAGTTTTCGTTTCTTCGTCCGCGGCGAGGCAGCTCAAATAACTCGTTGATTTAGCATATCCTTGTCTCGTGCTTGCGCCGTCTCTAGTCAGCAGTGGGTAGCACCTCTCCAGCATTTCGCCTTCTTGAGCTTATTAATATTTTCCGCCCCGGCAGGTAACCCACGTACCCGATGCGGTTTCCTTCAAGTTGTCTGTGTCGTGGCCCACGACTGGACTCTCGCTAATGTTCAATTGGTGTTTGGAGAGAGACTATGAGGTGGCTGGTTGAATAACTGGCATGAAGTATTGATGAGGGCAACTGCGAGTACGTTACTCGTTTCTTCGGAACCCTATATCACGGCTCATACTGTTACCTTGACTCGACAGAAAATACACCATGGTTGGCTCCAAGCACCGTTATCGATGAAATTCCGCCCTCAACCGCCGCATTCAGCGATACTTTGTACCCGTCTACGTCGCTGTCTCAGCATTGTCAACTCAGACGTGGTTGTCGGTGGTCGATCTGCCAAAACATCGCAAACTACCCAGCTAACCTTATCACCGATATTCAACCTGTTGAGCTACCTCTCATCATGTTCGAACACCTGGCCTACGGCATCGCTATGAAGTACCCCCTCGGCTGTAGGACAGTTAGCAATGTCTGTATTCCTCATTTTCCCATGAAGAACATCTCGACCTCCGGGGCCCACTGGCGCCGCGTATGAGATCTGGAATCGACATTTCCTAGCAGAATCGGTCGCTGCGGTGATTAACCCTGTAGTCTCTACTATCTTCTCTCTCGCTGACAATCTTCGTTAGATCGTAGCGCTCCTTTAACATAACTAGTGGTGGTGCTGAAAACCACGTTGGCACGTCCAAAGGTTATATCTATTGGCTCGCAGTCCCTGTTCGGAAGACTCGCGTCCATGGGATACCTTTGCATCTATCTCAAGACTTATCGACCATTTACGCGCTATCACGGCTCCTTCAAGTTTCAACGAACTCTTGTGGGCCTTTCGACTGCTTCCTCACGATAACAACTCCGGATTTTCAAGCATGAACCTGGTAAGCAACCTCTCGACATTAAGCCTTTGCGTCTTCGATAAGCATCCTCCATCGAACATTTCTCAATGTGCTGTCGCAGATGCTCCGCATGTCGATTTAGAAGTCGAAGAAAGAAAGATGGTACTATTTTAGACGATAGTCGCTAAGTAGCGGGTTTGAAGAAGGAAGATGCGAAATAGGGTCGTCTAGGATGGTTCGCACCACACATGTACGTCCCGCGGCTTCTCAGAGCTCGTGGTGTTCCTGATCATTCTCTTGAATCCGCAGATAATTAGCGACTCTTGCTATCAATATGCCATCTCGATCCACCTTCAATCGCGTTCAAACATTACTTCTGTATGATCGCCATGAAATGCTCATCAACCAACGAACAGCCGTCGTCTATCCTTTTCATCCGGAAGTTCAACTCTTGAGAGGCTATGGCAAAGTTCTACGCGAGGAACTGCATAGTGTATGGTCGGCTGTGCCGCCGTACTGTACCTGAGGGATGAGGGTGCGATCCGACTCTGGGATGGGCTACCCAGATGAAAACGTCTTGCGTTGTCCTTCGAAGCTCCTCCTGAAAACGACCTTCAGTAAATGCGATCGCTCCTTCGACACGTTGATGTCTTTATTCTGGACGTACGGTAAGTCGACAGGCACTCCGTCCAACGCACTTCTTTTCCGGCGCTAATGTCTATCTTCAGAGTGCAATTGGGAGTCATCGTTCCTGGCGGATTGCGTCCTGGATCGGCTTGGAGTGACGGGAAACCTTTGGCGTGTTGGCTAGGCGAAAGTGGGGTGGTGTGGGCAGAGCAGCATATACCGGATGAAAGGGCGAATGAAAAGGACATGTAACCCTTCGAAGTCAGCGTTAACAATAAATATTCATTTCTCTCTCCCTCTATCGTTGAAGGTTAATCTGCGCGCCGTGTTGGAGGTGTTTCGTGAGTTCAATATAATTCACAAATTCACGGCGTACAGTTATCAATGCCGGAAGAATGCAGGAAGATTTACTCCAAGAATATGCATACAAAACCATAGTAGTGTACATACAATTATTGAACTTCTGCCTAGTTTGTACGCAACCGACGTCTACCAAAAAAGAATCGATATCCGCTACGATGCGAACCAAAGAAACGCCTAAGGGATAGAGGCTAGCAAACACAAACTAAGGCCTAAATGTCTCGATCTACGAGCGAACTTCACCACATGGCTTCGACATGAATCTCCACGCCTCCGAGACCGGAAAGATACTCCGGAATAACAACCTTCAGGAATGCGCTCCTTTCGGCGAGCGTCATATGAAGGACGACGTTCGTAATGGCCTCGACGTGGCTCTCCTCCCCCTCCTCCAAGGACCCGCCGACGTTGATGGTGGACGTCCCAACACCACGTCTCGCAGCCTCGATGACCAGAACCCGCTCCGTGATCATAAACATGATATCTTCCGCATTTGTGAGGCTACTGGCCGTCACTTCGAGAGCCTTGAGCGAGGGCAAAAGGTGTCCGTTTGCAAGCTTGCGGAGGGTGGCGGAGTGGAGAAACAGGGTGGGCGGGAGGCGGAGGGTGTGGAGGTTAGATACGAACTGAAGCAGGGCTTCGAGCTCCAGATACGTGAGTTGACGACGTTCAGGTGTGCGTGGAAGGACGGCGGCATGCCCTTGAGAGTCGACGAGCTCGAGTACTTCCAACTTCTTTGAGCATAACGCGATGAGGGGGCGGAAGAGAGGGAGATTCCACCCATCAGTGCTTGCGATCGTCATTTCAACGCGCAGTTCCTTCAACCGACATGCGAGAACCTGGTGGAAGAAGCCCGCCTCCGTCCTTCTCCCTCCAAAAATGACGATCAACTTCTTTAACGCCGTCATTCTGACGTCGGGCGGATCCATTAGAGGTCGGTGCGCAGTAGTGGTCGGTGCGTTAGTGGTGGGATTGACATGGAAGCATGCCTCCTGCAACGACATCGCGGTACGATGCATAAGCACCAGGACGACGTTTGGCGCCAGCGAGATGGCTCTGAGATCGAGAGCGATGAGCTGAGACCATGGGAGCGATAGATCGAGGATCTGGGAAGAGGAGACCGGAATGTCGCCCTGTTGGATGTGGTAGACAATTCCCGAGCGGTCTTTAGCGGACATCGCGTTGACGATGGGTGGTCAGGTATCCGCTGAGAGCCGAGGGAGGATATATAGTCAAATACGATGCAATATACCAGCAGGAAAGAACGAGTGCTCACACAAAAAATGAAAATCGATGGGACTCCTGGAGAAAGAATGAAGGTGGCGGTATAGAGCAAGAAGCTGGGGCGAAACATCGCTCTCGCCTTCGTCTATATGTGAAACCTTGAGGCATGCCTAGAGAGGCAAGGGCAAAAGTCACCTCATCGACGCGCTTTCTTACTTCCTGCCCTGTCAAAGTAGGCTTTCTGGGCGGTGCGCTTATTTTCCGTCCTTATGCGACAGACTTACACAGAGGACTTTTTCCTTCCAATACCAGGCAGGAATGAATCGCCCTGCGCGCTTTGTATTAGACATGGACTATGGACGGTGGTTTGGAGGCGAACGCACCGACTGTTGGTCCTCCTCGTAGCTCTCGTTCGGGCGCCGATCAAGTACGGCACGCCCACTCGATTAGGAAAGTTCCAAGAGGCGCATGTGCGCTGAATCGAACATATTGAAGGTGCATTTACTTGTCGCAAACGGTGCATGCTTCGCCCGAAGATCCACTCGCCACGCAGCACTGCCCTGTCTGCAAGACATTCTGGAATTACGATGTGGCTTTCTGGGAAATAGGCGCCGAGTTAGTGTGACGATGGCAGTGAAGGGAAGAAAGAACAGAGCCTGCAAATGGAGTTGGAAGCCATTCCAAGGCCAGGGAAATCAGGAAGAGAGGTTTTCTGCGGAAGATCACGAAAGTGCGTACCTTTCAGGCAGCGCACACGATATTTTTGTCCCAGTCGGCCGATGCAGGGTCGAGCATGCGCGTTGGATGAGAAAAGGCTGACGGCGATTCAGTGGGCGAATCAGTTTCTGCCCGTTTGAAAGAGTTGAGCGCGTCCGTTTAAAGTCACAACGTGGAACCACAGATCACGACAAGGCGTCGGTCAATGTATAGGAATGAACCAAGTCAACGATTACTCCAGGAATAGAATACAAAGAGGACAGTCAAGTGGCAGGTATGGACATAGGAGGAGAAGGGGGAACAGTGCACATATAACAGCAACTTAAAGGGGATGTAGAAATGGGTTGAAAGGTAAAATAACACAAGAATCGTTTGGCACGGAGTCCGAAGAACGAGGTAGGACGGACAAAGTTGAAGAATAAACAGCCGAGAAGCGTACCATGAGCGCCGTACGCGCCTGTTCCATCAAGGGGTCCTTTTATCCGTCGGCATCCGTTCCCTGGTTGACAAACTCGGGCCACTCGCATCGCGGCATCGACATTTATAACCCCGGTCGCCCTCACGGAGCCATGACGGCGAGACAAACGGTAACCCCGGCTCAGACGATGCTTATGGCCTATTGTTGACTGGAGGACCGCATGACGGGGAGGTTGTGTCCGCTGTCTTCCGCTCCGGAATGGGCACAGGCGGCCTCGGTAACTGGCGGAGGAAGCCGGTGCCGCCAGATGGAGAGGAGAATCATTGATATCAATGCTACGATGGCCGGACAGCGGGGCTTTGGAAATACGGCCGACGGCGCCTGGGGCATCTCGCGATGTAAGGCTGAGAAGGAAGAGATCGTTAAGTTTCACAAACCAGAAATTTGAGAATGAAAGTCGAAGTACCTTAAAACCCCGACTACTGGCAAGTGCCAGAAATAATGGATTGTTGTCGTTGGATCTGCGGAGCGTCAAGAAGGGGGTCAGTATGTGAGGAGATGGTGGAAAGCAAAGGAGTGCATGAGGGCAGCGAAGAGATGGAGAGGAAACCACACTAAATAATGTCCGCGGAGTCATCGATGCATTTATTGCAAGTAACGTTGCGAGAATCCGCTCTGGGGCGAGTTGCCGGAGGACGAGAACATCGTGGTGCGGCTTGCGTGGTTATCCGTGCCAGCTCAGACATGGATGCCAGAAGTTCGACGAGGTACACAGAGCGACCTGCTGCGAAAACACGCGAAACAAGGAAATGGACGACGGAGAAAATAATTCGGGCCGAGAACAATCCAAAATACAAGAAACAAGCGGGTTTATGTACCCACAACACGCGAGGAAAAGAGGGTGGTACAATGGCAAAAAGGACTGAGCTTTCTGGACACGCACCTCCTTGCCCGCGTCAATCTGACCATTTCCAATTGCCACGTCCCGTCAGCACAGGCACCATGTATTCGTATGATTTGAGGAGTATTCGGCACCGAAGCTTCATGCAAAGTAGCGATCCGTCCTTCAGAAATTCTCGATGTGGGCAGGCCTCCCATCTTCATGGCACACATCCAGACGAAAGGCCCCAGCACGAGAAATGTGCTTCTAAATATCTGTACAGAGGCAGAAGTTCTAGTGAGTAGCAACGTATAAACGCAAATTGGCATTGACTCACCTATACACACAGACAGCATCATTCTTAGAACCTTGCTTCAGCCTTTCTCCTCCTCCACGGAAGAAAAACCAACGGCGCACCTTGTTCAACCTCAGAAGGGCTGCTACTCAAACGCGAACATTCAGGAGGCTCCGCAGCCAAATATCACGCCTGTATAGTCTTCTCATCGGGCATATTGGTGGGAAGGACGACAACGAGTGACGATGACGCGGCGGTGGTAGGAAGGCAATTGCGTTCGGTCTTGGAACTTTTTGGTCGGGTGCAATGTGTGGACTTGTTTGCGATCACGAAGGCGGTCCGGTCATCCGAGATCAATCCCTCACCCTGTGAATTCTTTCTTTCTCCAAGTCAATGCAATAAAATTGCACATCCATCTGAGTTCGTGAATAGAACGTAGACCTACTTATTTCAAGCATCAGACTCTCTACGCGATCCTCTTTTGCAGAGTATATAAAGTATCCTCTGACATCGCCAGGCAGACGTTTTCTAGTTGTGATAGAGATAAACGAAGTATTATGTCGAGAAAGTAATGACTTCCTTCAACGAATGAATTGGAGAGGAATAAATTTAGAGAAGCGGTGGCACTGTTATGAATGACTGCTAGCAGCTCTCAGTTTGAGGTTCGTCGACCAGTTTTACCTCGCGCTGTCATTTTACTCTTTGCCAATCTAGCACCTTTTGGCGGACGCTGATCGAAATACGAATATGGAAGAGATTGGTTAAGTAGAGAGAAGAGGACACCATTTTATTGTAAAGCCTCAGCAGAAGAAGTTGGAAGAAGCGACGTCGAACGCGCCCCCAATTGTCCACAAAAGAGGTACTTCCATCCGGGGCTAAGCATGAGGAAACATTGTACTCACTTTGATGACGAGCGAGTCATCCTTCACGTCCTCTCAAAGGGCACCAGTGATCTTGTGGCAGTGGGCACGCGATGTGTATTTGTTCATTTGTTCTCGCTCATTCTGGGACGATCACGCAACGTTCTGCGTTGTTCTAAACTTCCATCATCTCTTGAGTGGCTCACGAGTGGCTAGTGACGAGTCAGGACAAAGCGCCTCAAGGTCCTGCTTTCTATAAAAGATGCACCTGGAGTCGTGTTAGGTCCCATCCTACCCTTACGTCTTCCCTCTTGCCCGTCCCGTCTCGTTGATCCCTCTAAATCTCCCTCCGCCTCTCTGTCAAGTAGAACGTCTCGACCGCGTCCTTCATCTTCGTAACTCTTGCTCTCCATGCCAAACACGATGCTCTCGCTCATGACCGCCCCGAATACGACCAATTACTATAGTGCCACCACGGAATCCGATGTCTCCAGCTATGCCGACTCGTCCTACGCCGACTCCGACATCGACGCCCCTGCGAACAGCTGCAGCGACAGCGCGTCCAACACCTCACATGAGATCGACGACTCTGCCCCCCAAACCCCGGACTACGTCTCTTACGCTGGGTCAGACATCTCCGAGAATGAGTCGAACGCTTCTGACTTCGAACACGGCGCCCTGTCCGGCTCGACGATCGTCCATCGCGCCTTCTACCACGCCGAGCCGTACATTTTCACCGGAAAGACCTTCGAGGAGCTATCCGAAGCCGCGCAGAAGTTCCTCACGAAGACAGGGTTGTGGCCAATGGACGAGGAGACGTTTGAGAGAGAAGAGTTTTTCGAGAGGCTGTACAAGATAAGGGAGGCGAGGCGGGATCGGTTGGAGAGGACATTGGAGGGCGTAAGTAGGGCGATCGCAAAGGAGATGTTAGTTCGCGCTGATGAAGTTCCTGCATCTGCCACCAACATTAATGCTGGTGGTGAAGGACCAGCGAGTGGCACCGCGACACCTGGTCTCGCTCCGTCGACGAGAGAGAACATCGTCGGCGGTTTCCTCTACCCCGAGTGGCAAGAACACCTGGAGGCGTACGTCGAAGAAATCGACGCGCTCATCTGGGTTGACATGCACCTCCGTCTCGGGGTCGAGCCGAGCCTGTCCGTCAAGGGCTACTTGAGAGAGCGCAAGGAGGATGTGGAGCGCATGACCGAGTTCGCGGTGCAATGCTTGCAGAGGACGTTTGAGAGGGTGAAGGAGGAGCGAGGGGCCGCATGGCTGATGAAGAAGATCACGGAAGGTAAGACGGAGGAGGGAGAGGATTCGATTGAGTCGATTGATTCGATTGCCCATATCTCGCCAGTCTCGCCGCTGAGCGGTGGAGAGGAGAATGGCCAGTGGGTAACTGTGTCGGCATGAATTATGAAGAATACGGGCAATAACGTGTAGCTCGACGTACCCGCACAACATAAACAATGTCGCCGAATATATCTGGTACCCGTATCATACGTGGAGGTATATCAATGCTCGCCGTCACTGTCAGCCTCATCTGACGAGCTCCCATTGCTGTCGTCTGAGTCCCCAGGGCATTACACAGCGTCTACGCCTGGCCTGATGCTTCATCAGACGTTCAAGGAAAAATAAACCGATAATCATCATCCGGCCACGCCATTGTAACAATGCTCCAAGGTGAGCGATATCGAATTTGAGTTTCGAGGCACGAGGGCGATGCCGTCGAACAAGGTCTAGCGGCCGTTCGCATTTGCTTATGCTTCGAATGAATGAAACGGTTTTATTGCCTACGAGAATCGAAGAAAACGATTAGCAAGAGCATGAGCTCCTAAAAAGAAAAAAAGAGCGACGTACTAGATCAAATTATATCGTTCAAGCAGTCCCGGAGTATTCTCTCGTTCTCAAACCTACTTTCGCCTTCTTGCTTCTTGCCTTTCTTTGAACGTTTGATGTAGGAATTGTACGCAAGTATATGATCTGCGGCCTCAAAGGAGGTTAGAGGGCGACATGGTTGTCTACGAAGAGGAGAAGAATGATTGGTGTGAATGGTCGAGACGGAGTAAAAAAGGAGGCTCCGTACCGTTGGTTCGAATAATCAAAGGCCCGACGGTTCAGGCCCAGGAAACATCGCTCCAGAAGTAGAGGGCCACTGAATAGTGGAGAAATAACGCCGAACACGATGCTCAGGATCAGTAGGAGTATACATGCGAGAGAGGAATCTCTTCCAGTGGCCGCATTCACGTCACTTGACAAGCCTGTCGTTCGATGACCGATGGAGAATCAACTAACGAACGTTGTTCTCAGGAGAGAAATAGAAGGAGAGATGGCAGTACTTGCTATTTGCATTTAAAGCGCATTGATACAACGGCGTGCCGGTGGGAGAGTACTACTCAAGATTTATTAGCACCCACTACCTCGGATGACGGTTATTAGCATCGCGGCATTTTACCATGATCTCGGGATGAAGCGCCAGACGTATCTTGAATGAACATCATTTGTGGTCTTCTTGAATTCGGGCTAAGAGAAACGTCCAGACCAGTAATGAATGAGCGAAAGGGGGGGTCGCGGCTAATGTGTCTAACGAAGATGAATGTCAGGTGGGATCACGATGCTGAAGGAAAGCGTACTCTATTCACTTGAAGGGCTTCGAGAAATCCGACGTCGGCGATTATCCATTTCGCGTCTCAAGATTTACGAATCAGATACAGACGAGCGAGAGCCGCTGCCAGGTATGTGAAGCTTGAGCTTGGATCATCGAATGCTGAGACGAGGAAGATGGAAGGTGATCGCCGCTCCTTGGTTAACACGGATTGAATTAAAGGGCGAGAGTTCCCGCAGTGATCGCTCAAAAATGATAGGATGGAACGCAAGTCCTTGTACTAACTTATGGGAAGAACGGCTACTATCAAGCGCTTCAAATGCTCTCGCTGAGCGTTGAGCGCTGATAGCGGAGTCAACGGCTGAAGCCAGTCTGTGCCCACCGATGTCGACGATGCGGAGCTTCGAGGCAGGAGGGCGATGCCGTCGAACGACGTCTGGCGGGTGTTTTCATTTGCTTATGGTTAGAACATATCATTGAGTGCCGTGGTCTACGAGATTCGAGAGAACGATTAGCAAGAGCATGATGTCTTAAAAAAGGGAGAGACTCACGTACTTGAAGGTCCGTCTGGGCGGCATCGGAGTTAGCCACTCGTCTTCTTGCCTTGCTTCGAACATAGAACACACATAATCTGTGTCCTCGACGAAGGAAGGAAGTTGGAGGGCCGGAAAATATCTATGAAGAGGAGAGGAATGATCAGCGTGAGGAGTTGGACGCGTCGAAGAGAGGCTACGTACCGTTGATTCGATTCAAAAGATTGAAGACTCGACAGTTCGGGCTTACAAAGTGTCGCTCCGAAAATGCGGAGCGAGATGGAACAACGGAGGAGGGGTGTCGAACACGACGTTGAGAGTCAGTAGGAGCAAACACTCGTGTGAGGGGTCTCTTTGTAGAATTGCCCTCACGTCGATTCATAGGCCCTTGGTTAGGTGGAGGCAAGGCGCAAAGTTCAATGGACGGCGCAGAGTTAACTAATTCTCAGGAAAGAGAGATAGGAGGAGATGTGGGAGCATATACTCACTACAGCGGCCGATCGAGATATCGGACCTCATCTGCAAGGGCTGGGGCCGTACGACTGGATATCCAGTATGACAAGACTTCATTGATCGTCTTCGATCCGGGGATAATGAGGGATCGACACGTTTTTCGGGCTCTTGGGCATGCAGAAAAGGCGTTGGAGGTGTTTGGATGTGGTTGGAAGGAGATTTCATAGTAGGATAGATGAGGTACAGCGGGGCAAGGTGTCATTGTGTCCTATTCAACTGCCGAGGCCCATCCGAGACGGTGTGGCATAGCAGGAGGAGAGCAGAGCACCTACTGCCGTTCCTAGCCGGTGCTTGCATAGACAAAACCCTTCTGATAATGCATCGTGGCCGGTCACCTAGTAGGCGTTTGAGTATGTGAGGAGAGGAATCGTGGACAATCAAAGACGCTTGACGTACCCTGAAGACTCCACCCTAATCGTCCGTAACGACCGTCTCTTCGCACGCAACCCTCCCGTTCGATTTATGGTCTTCTAGTTTGAGGATCGAGTCACGAAAGTGCAGCATTTCGCCAGCGAGGACCTGTCGAAGTCGGGTCGAGGAGAGACGACTCGGAAGTGTAGGGTGCCTATGGATGCAGCAGAGGGTCATTAGCACGGTGATGTTTGATGTAGATAACAGAGACACGTACTTTGGGCGAGGACATTCGCTGGTGAAGCTGCTGCTGAAGAAGGTCTACGGCCTGCTCGACTCGTCCAGTCAAAGAAAACACGTCTGAGAGCCAGCCTGAGTGAAACGTCGTGGTATGGTAGCTAGATCCATCGAAAAGGTCGCGGCGCGAGGTTAGGGCCAAAGTACGCTGGTAACGAGTTCGCGGATGCAAGACGAGTTCGAAGATGGCGGTGGGTGTGAGCAGAAGACCGATGCCCCGATGCCGGTCTTTCCGATGCCGGATCTTGTCCTTTTTTGGAAGCTCTCACGCCGGATGCCGGGGAATGATCTAATCCTGAGAAGACCGCGGTCCCTTCTCTTGTTCCCGACCATCATCTCGCTTCTCCAGTATGCAGCTGGCCCTTCGGTCGCTATCTCGCAGGGGCACACGACATTCCGCTGATGGTCCCATTCAAACGCACTCACGCAAGAGAGGGCCTAGCGCGTCTGGGGTTATGCATATGTGGGGACATCCGCCCTTTCTTCCTTGCCCTCCCTTCTCCGATGTCCTGCCAGCCGTTAGCGCGTTGGCTCCTACCCGGTACTCACTATGCTCTCTTTCACCTGGTCTTGTCGTCTATTCAATTTGCGAATTCTACGGCTAGCGTCGTTATCTCGCTCGTTGGACTTCCTCCCTTTGCGTCGCTGCCCCGCAGGGACACACGGCCTTCCGCTGGTGGCTCCCTTGAAGCGCACTCGCGCAAGACTCCAAGAGAGCTCCCAGCGTCTGGCAGATCTCGCATGTTTCTGCGAGTCGGCGCATCCAGGGAGATGGAGGACCTTCGCCCTTTCTTCCCTTCCCCTCCTGTGCTCCGTATCATCAACCATCGATTTCTTGCTCCTCCGGCCTGTGTCGAAGTAGTAGCTTGTGCTTTTAGGTACGACCCCACGCTGGATGTCCATCCGTCAACCCTGCCTACACTGACGTGTTTATCTCCGCCTTCTATGCGCATATATTCGTCTTTCTACCGCTATCCTCGCCGGCAACTCCAGGTTTGGCTCTTATTCGCATCCTAAACCCAAAATATTCTTAGTTATTAACTCTTTAGACGATTCGATGTCCACCCCCGTGGAATGACCACTCAGCGCTCAGCCAGCGGTTCTTACTCCCAACTAATGAGTCTCTCCCACTCCTCGGTCCTTCTCTCAACCACCTGCGCCCCGTAAGCCTTTCCTGCGCCGAATATCGCCAATACGTGATTTCGCCCGGGCGAATATTGGTTCTGGGACTTGATATATGCGGCTTTTCGCGCCTCCAAGTGCCAGAATCATCTGAAATGTTGAGTTCTTGTCCTTCCTTCCTTCGCCTGCTAACATTCGTTACCCAAACCCAAGGTATATGCTATAGGATAGTACTCGAAAGCTTCGCTACGCACATGAATTTGGATGTCAGCCTTGTTTCCTTTCTCGTTCCCTTTCCTTCGATATCCTGGATGGACACATAGGGGCGAACTTCAGCATTCATATCCTTTTGTACGTGATCTCTATGCGAGCTCCCAAGCCAATTCTTGCGTTTAATGTTACCGTGTGTTCTCTTAGGATACCTATGCATTCGATCCGCCGGCAGGCGACACGAGCCGACTCCCGTCACTTCTCGCCCGTGCCTCCTTCGATTTTCTTTGGTGCTCGACAGGGTACGTGGTTTCGCTGACGCTGTGTGCGTGATTGCCCGACTCTCTGATGTTGTGGAACAGCCAACATTTGCCTTTTTGGAGCCCTATTCGAGTGCTCCCGCCTCGACGAAAGTCACAGCTTTGCGATTCCGACTCAAGTACAACATCCCCTGTACTGGACGTCCGTCCGTCGACCTGGTCGCATCTAGAGTAAATACATATTTCTTCGCCCTTTCCATGTAGATATACTCGCCTTTCTTTCCTTATTATCGCCACCGGCACGGGGCTCGATCTCCAGAGGTGCTCTCTAGATCTCCAAGTGTGGATATCAAACCGGGTAGCTGCTTCCCAGTGGCTCTTCTTGAAATGGTCTGTTTATCTCTTCGTCCGCCAGTGTAGGAAGTGCCAATCCTTCGGACTACATGTGACAATGCTGTAAGTTTGAGTCTCTGTGGGTCGATATCCTTGGAGGCGATTTTGGGATCTCAGAGTTTGTTGGCATCTACCTAAAAGGTTTGATTTATCTCTTCGTCTGATTCGGCTATGCTATGCTAACGTCTGCCACCCCGCTCCTCACTGCTCCTCTTGATAACGTGTGTCCAGGGCTTATTGTCAGCCTTGATTAGGGCAGTACTTGCTCTGATACTCGGTACGAAACCGATATATATGGCCTTGCGCGACTCCAAATCGGCCATCGGGGATGGCCAAAATTTCCGGCTCACAGTCCAGGTATAGGATACACCTGGAAAGTCCCACAATGCGAACGAATATGTACTTTCGACAAATTTTCCTTTCGTACGTTGTAGTACTGTCCGCGTGGACTTCCACACCAGCGCTTACATTGCATTGCATTACTGTTTTCCTTCAGGCCACAGGCTCCAATTTGACGTTGCATTTGAGCTTGCGTATGACAAGCGCCGAATCTGAAGGGTCTAGCGCCTTTATGGAAGTTGGTGTATAGATTGATTCACTACCCCGCGGTCTTCGATTCGTTATCACTTACAGCTATGTGAGCACCCAAGTTCCATCGACGAGCTCATGAGGGCGCAGATTGGCGAGAACGTCTTGTCTCCCTGAACCACAAATGTACTCTGGTTCGCACTCACTCGCAAACCGGTATGATTTCCAGCGTATCTTCATCCCTGTGGCCATGTTGTCCAAGGACGATAAATCAGGAATAAGGTCACAGTGAGTGAGATCGAGAAGCTGAATGGGATGGCCCTTACTCTCTCGCCACTCAAGAAAGCAACGCACCACCTTCGCCGGGGCGTTCTCCGGCCCCATCAGGCGACCGTAGATGCTCCATATGTCCCCCAGCTTCAATCTTGAAAGCACTGGGAAGAGGACGGAATGGTGGTAAGTCATCCTAATGAGGGTGTCGACAGATTTAATCGTTGTGTACATGCACTCGACGTTCTGAAGGCGCGAAATGAAGCGGGGTATGGATGGGTTGGATTCGACGCAGTGCTCTGTATCCAGTGTCCAAGATCCCGATATTTCCAGAGCGAGCTCGGAGATGTGGTCAAAATTGATCCCAGCGAACGCATCGAGGTAGGGCAAGACGCTGTGCAGATCATGATCTGAGCTGCAACTGACGTCTAAACAGAAACACCACACAGGATTTTTCTCCGTCCCCTGGATGTACTGCTTGACACAGAACCCTCGACGCAAGACAGAGAGGCAGAGCTGAGGCTGCTCGGAGAAATGGGTGATCCATGCTTTGGCGTAGGTCCCGAGGACATCCTTGACGAGATCGATGTCGTCGGCGGACTTTATACGTTCCGGATCGGTAGTTATAATGTCGACGAGGCAGCGAGGAGGCACCTCAAGGTGACCAAGCAGCGCCGCGACATCGAAGAGGCGATGGCTGACCGCGAGTCGGGTGAGGTAGGGAAGACGCACGAAGCAACAATTTTCAAGATCAGGGCTCTGTTGGTCAATAGATGAGAAATGGATAACGAGCGACTCCAACATTGTTGTAGCACTGAGCAAGTCCAGCCACCGTGAGAGCGGCATGGGGGCATCGTAGATTCTGATATATCGAATGTGCGATAGCCACGAGGCTCCTGGGTCGATTTCCATCCTGTTGCCCAAATCGATGGAACGAAGCTGCGGTGCCACCCCGTCAAAGAGCCTCCGTCCGTCGAAAGGAAGGACATGTTCCATGGTGAAGTAGGACACGAAGTAGAGTTGAAATGACTTCAACGATCGCGCGGGCATATAGAACTGAGGCCAGTAGTGCGGTTCGGTACGGTGGGCTTTGAAGACGTGCACGGATAGTTTCTCGATCCTGTCCCAATTCGCTTCTAGCACGTGGGAGAGCAACGAACGAGCTGCGTTATCGGTGGCTTTGTCCCTTATTTTGATTTGGGCCTTCACTGTCAAGAGAGCATTTCCCGCACGAGAAAGGATTTCTTGCGCCGCTTCGTCGGAAATATGAGAGAGATAGTCGATATCGATGAGCTTGCCCCACAGGGTCGGTGAAAAGAGGATCAAGTTGCGCCAGGAGCGACAGACATGAGAGGCATCGCGAATGATGGTAAGTGCACGCGGGGGCCATTCAGAGACACTTTCTCGGGGTATTTCTGCTTGATCCTGGCCCATATCGGCGTTGAGGGCAAAGACGTGGGATAGAACATCTGCAGGCAGCTCGAGCGTGTCATCTGAGCCAGAAATCCTCCTTGTGGAATTCATCCTCCTGTCCACCATGCTGTAGCCCTGTATACTATCAGTCATAAGTTCCATAAGAAGGTTAGCAGGTTAATATCCGATACCTGAGGTGGATTAGCGGCTGTTGGAAGCTTTTCAACGCAACGACAGGTCTCCTATTCGGAAAGGGCTTTCTTTCGATGTCGTGCTCTTGGTGACCAGTTATCCTGTCGCATGAATGCATAAGAAATAGCGTGAAAATACTGTGAGGAACGAACTTGAGGAGAAGGTTGAGAGAAGAAACGACTCACGACTCGGGGAGAGAAAAGACCAAGACCCGGATGATGGATCATCTCATCCGTCCGGCTTCGCACAGCTTATCTTATCGGATATCCGGTGCAACGTTTCCCGGGCAGCGGACGGTCCGATATTAGAGATAAGATAAGAGCCTGTAGATAACTTGCCGTTCGCACTGCGCCATGACACTTTCTGCGGGCCCTGCGCCTCCCAAACCCAGCCTAATGTCCCATCGCCCTTCTTTCCCTTGCATATCTTCGGGATCGGTCATTGCTCACCAGTACTACGCGACATTCAGGAAGAAACCTCACGACGGATATTTCAACGTCCTCATCGTTTTACTCAGCACCCGAGGACTACTTCGGTCCATCGAAGAAGGTACACGCTGCGTTATCGCCTCAAGCACAAGCTGCTAGAAGAATGTCAACTCTTCCAACCGCGCACGACAACGAGGAGCGCATACAATCGGGAAAGAAAGAGGAGGCAGCTCGAGGACTAAAGACAAGGGTGAGTTCAACACCATTGAACATGAAGCTTGAAGATTTGTCAACCCCCTCTCCAGTCACTCACTGCTGTCTCATCGCATAGCCCCAATCGAATCACGCTCGCAACGGCGACTCTCCGAGGAAGAGTGAGAGTCCACGATGGATTCTAGAACAGCGAAGACGTGCACGTACCTAATGTGAAAAAGTCGAATCCGTTGCGGCGCAAGGGTAGGAGTCGAAGAGTTGAGTCTAATCGTCGAAGGGACGGATGCGAGGAGCACAAGAGAACGCAGGTAAGTTATTCATTTGCTGTGCTGGATGATTCGAATTCGGCTTACGCTTGCTCTGCACAAATGCAGCATCGTGGGCTCTGCGAACGTTCGCCCCGCGGTCGTTGCACAGAGTTGAAGAACTCTGTATATCAACGCTGAGCGCTGGCGGTTCATTCGAAGGCTCTGCGCCAGCGGTGCGCGTTCTTTGTGCTTGGTGCGACTGCCAGAGGATGGCTTTTTCTCTTTCTAGGAACCTTCTCGTGCTGCTGCGAACAAGGGCAAGTCGTTTCCCTCGACGTTAGAGAGAGAGCACACTTAGAGGCTACCGAACGCATGGCACTTCCTCTGTACCATGTACACCCCTGCCCGCTCGTTTCAATTCAGAACCCCACCCTAGCACTGGTAGGCTGAGGAAGGGACGTCAAGTCAACCAAACACCTCAAACTTGGGGTTGACGCTGCTGTTGAGTGTCCTGAAGCTGGAGCTGAGCGTGCGGAGGTCGGGGTCGAGGTAGAAGAAGGGGCGGAAGGGTCGAAAGGCGAACATTGGTGTTGACGTTAAGAGCGCCTGATATCGTGGAAGAGGTTGCATTGGCTGAGATTGGCGGTATCCGTAGCCATAGCCAGACTCTTGTGTGAGGGCGCTATCGTATGTCGCAAATATTGAAGTTGATCTTGCAGCGCAGGTGCAGGAGACGATCTCGCAGTCCTATTCTCCGCCTGAGCCTGAACTTGCAGCTGCAGCCGTTATACCGTACCCATACCCATGGATATACGATCCACCACCCTCCTGGGTCTCGCACCGCCGCTCGTACTTCCGGTGGTTCGTATCCCTCGTATGCCCGCAGGTCTGCGCCATCAACTCGATGCTGAGAATAGACCCCGACACCCAGACGGGCTAGGAACCAACCCCCGCACCGTCCACACTAAGTTCTCGAACCTCGACGCCGACGCCGATCCCGAGCCATAATTTGACATCGAAGATGGGGGGCGGGGGAGGATATGAGGTCGTATACGGCGACAAGACGGAGGTCCGAGCGTTGGTTTGGAGGAGGCGAGGAGTAACGTGGGCCGCAGCCAAGGTGTACAGAGGCGAACGAGGTCGCGAGGTCGCAGAGGAGGGGACGGTGGGTGTGTCTGAGGGTGTACGTCACGTGGCCATGCTGTTCAACGACGAGGAAAGGGTGTCGGTGCTGGAGTGGGAGTGGACGTGGGGACCAAATGGGCGGGTTGGAGTGGATGTATGCGTGTCGATGTTGGCGTTGAAACATTGACGCACGACGGGTAGTCAAATTTCGAAGTCAACGAGTTGACCAGTGTCGATGTTGCTATGGCCTTCGATGCTGGCACCTTGCTCCAGCTCGTGCATGTCCAAGCTTTCCTGAAGGTGCTCCTCATTTGCCATGGGGAGATGCTCGTATAGGAGGGCCATAGGCACCTATGTCGGCGGCGAAACCGAAGGAGAGGGTGGAGTTCTTCTGTCATCTTGCAGTTCCGAACTGTGAGCGGGGATTGCGCGTGAAGGGGTTCTTATACTGCACAAGTCTCCAATGCGCTCGTGAAATGAGAAAGAAGAGATACAAGACCTGCTTTATCCTCGTCAGTAACGCAAGAACAGACGGCAGAAACGGCGTTGGTTGATATTGAACGCACCCAACGAGTCAGATTCGTGAATTAACCAAATTCCAGCTATCCAATATTCGGGCCTATGAAACTGAACATCATATCTCCAGGCATCGTGGGCGTAAGCCGTAACCCGTTGGTGTTGATGCTGTGTGACTGAGTGGGTAGGTGTGGTGGTTGAGCAAGAGCAAGGCGTCTAATCGGGGCGTCCAACCAGCATTATCTCAGCGCCGACTCTTAGAATGGGAAGAGAATCACACGAGTAATGCCGCGACGGCATCTCCGGCTGACTCCGTTTCCTTTTGTCGCCATCGTCGTGATCTCTCTCTTCGCTCCTCTATAATCCTTCATCCGTCCCCGATACCTCGTAACTCTCGCCGCCACGGCGCATGTCCTCTCGAACTCAGTTCACGATCGGCGGCCTCATTGACTAGCTCTAAATGATCCTGTGTAGGTCGCATTGGCATTGTCCCTCCCCACCTTCGAGGCATTCATCGTTGAAAGATGAGAGACTAAAAGTGGTCTAGGAGGTGGGCAATTTAAGATTGTGGTTTATCTGGTGCGTATATTCGGTCTGTGTTGTCCTCGCACAAGTTTTGCTCGGTGCCTTATCTGTCCAGGTCGATGTTGTGGTATTGTACGCCCGAAATCCCCGTCAACGTCGCGGTCGAGATCTCTTGCGTCGATCCTTATCCTCAGTATTGATTGTCATCACCGCCTTCTCGAGCTGCTTTCCCTCGCCTCCCTCTCACGGCTAGCAGTCTAGCTCTCGCATCCACCCGGGGATCTCACCCTTCCTCCTCTACCTGTCACCCTACGCCGCATCCGCCTCGAAGACTCCAACGAGCAGCTCCTAAGCCGTCTCCCCGCGCCGTGATCCACCTTCGGCCTCGCCGATGGGTGGGGTCGCTCGTCGGTTTACGACGGACTCCTGAAACTGCTCGTTCGTCCCGCTCGCGGCTGGTCCTTCCTTCAATCCGTCCGCCATCTCTCCCTACTCATATTACCTGCTCTATGGCATACGTCTCGCCGCTACGGATTCAGATTCTCGCTTCAGATATAATCTTATATTCACTCCTGATCGTGCACGGTTTGGCCTTCAACGGAAGGAAAGGGCGAGCCCCCACTATCACCTCTCAGACATGTGAACCGCAGTCGTACTTACATCTACGTGCTGTTTTTTCGCCTTGTCTGTGTCCACGAACGGAACACCTTGCTCTTTCCTTCCCGCACAGTCTGTCACTGCTTCCGCACCCTTCACCTCACGCGTCTCGCTCGTATGCTTTCAGCTTATCACTCTTTTATCTCCTTAGGAAGGGTACGAGAGGGCGTCGACGCCCATACTCATACCTCGTCTGGTTCTTCGAACACTCATCAAGACCGAGAAGTGTCCATTAGCACTAGAAAGACGCTCTCTCGCTCCCCTTCCGATTATCTCACTTTGGGCTACTCAATCTAGATGAATACGATATCCATTTCGACGTCATCCCTATACCCATCACTTCCCTGTTTCCCTTTCCCCTACCATACGCAAGCGAGCAAAGAGCAGACCGCGGCACAGATACTTTATCTTCTACACAAGCATCGAATACGCAGCTCGTTGCAATCAGATGTCGGAGATATCGGTGATGTGCCTGATTAGTCTGCTCTTTTCGTCTGTTTGGAGTGGGAGGCTCAGCGTATCTCTCCTGTGTTTCCAACCCCCTTCTGACGATGCCCAAAGAAAGATCTTTTCATCAGAATGATTGTTTTACCTCACTATGAGCCTCTTCCCTGATTTATTTGGCGCCTTGTTCAGAAGCCGTACCGAAACCGATTCGAATGCCGGTTGGCACTCAAGCATGGCGTTGTACCAACTTGCAGTTCTAATTTGTCCCCGGGGTGCAGATAAATATCCAACGCTGACTCCTTCTCAGAAGAACCCTCTCTTCTCCCCACCGTCTCACAAAGTAAGCACCCAAGGATCTCGAACGAGACGAAATAATACTGCACCTTCAGATGCCCCTCTTGGACGTTTCAACGGGGAAGTTCATGGGTAGAATCCTCCGTAATTCTGCCTCCAGTAAGCTGTCGAGGGCAGTTTCATTCTTCTCTGATCTCTGGAGCAACCCTACGCTGCATGAGTAGCTCTCGGCGTCTCTCTGAGCTTGAGTCAGTTTCTCGCACCTTCCTAGAGAGTGCATCGGTGCCCTCTTTATGCACGGGGAGATGGTGGGATTAGATCCTACCGGTACCTACGACGGAAGTGCGTCCGTTGAATTCCTCGATAATTAAATTTGTCTATAATCCGACTACGGTAGGCCTGCCGTTCGTTTAGTATTCGAGTTGTTTGAGACGACCCGTCCCAATCTTTCATCTGTTTTACCAAGCAAGGCGTTATCGTGCGATTATCTTATCTCATCTTTCGGCGGTCAGGCGGCACAGCCAAAATGGACACACAATCAGCGCACAAACGTTTCTTGCTCTCTACGACGACCACGACGGCGATGACCTTCCTCAATCCTCGATGGCTAGCTTTCCCGCCTCTCATCTTCGTGGAAACACGAACGGTGCATTCAAATGGCGCAGACGCGATCCCCTCTGGCCTGTTAAGTACGTGCCCTTCACCACACACCAGCCCGCTCACGCATACATCGACTTCCACTCGCGCTCACGACTTCGCTCTTGTTTATTTATCAGGCATTCAGTTGAATAGGCCGGAATACGTCGGATGGCTGAAGTTACGGAAGATCAGATGAGTGTGACTCATTCGGTGTGTTATCAATAATACCATCCCACCCCGTTTGCGTTTCTGACGACGACAACGAAGCAGCGCCAGCTCTTATGACATGCCCGCTGCCCCTCCGCATCAGCGACGTCGCTCTCCGCCCTACACCTTGTCTACTCTACTACCTTCGTTTCACCCGCACCGATACCTGGTCACCCATCTCGTGTCCGTACACACCTCGATGTCGACCTCCAGCTCAGGTCCGGGGTGGGCGTTCGGGAATTCGAAGCAGAACAGGCGTAGTGCACGGTTCCTAAATCGCCCCCTGGCACCTGTACCGCAACTCCATTGTCCGCATCGACTTCAGAGCCCAGCTGCGACTTACGACATCCTACCCTAGCTCCGCTGGACTATGGCTATGGCTTCCGCCAACCTTAGCCCACACATCTTCAGCGGTACCAGGGCCAGGGGTTCTTTTAACACCAACACGATGCCAATATTCGCCCTTCAAGCTTCAACCCTTCCGATTAACCATCCACCTGCTCGGATTCGGACCCAAGGCATTCGGTGGATTTGACGTCCCACTGGGCCGGACGAGCCCGGGATATGTGGGTTAGGAGGTATGGGTTCTGCGTTGGCGTAGGCCACCAAGAGGAGGAGAGGATCGTGTGTGCATGGTGGGATAGGTGAGTTTCTTTTCTTTGTCTCGTGGTTAGTTCTTCTTGAGGCGGGTGTTGTGTTTCCATTCTCTTCGTTCATCCGTTCTTGAGGAACATGTGGATTTCGTTCCTGCCTCCACAGACGTTCACACTTTCACTTCCGTGCTCTTGTTCTCTCGCTCATCACTATCCCGATGAAACACTTCCAGTCTCATTTGGACGCTGGGTGCCGCGTTCGAGTTGTTCCTTCGTGCTCTCCGTTGGTGTTCATTGATCCTCGCGTTTCCGTCTCCTCTTTCGAAACTTTTACGCTCTATGCTGTACATTTCGTCATTTCGTCCTCAGCTACCCTTTTCGAGTTCTGCTTAGTCGTTCGGCGTTTGGAGTTTCTGCTCTGCATGCTAGACTCCACACCGCTCGCTGATCTTTGACGACGACCGTCCGTTTCTTCGTCTGGGACCGCAGTGCATCGTGATGCCGCAGCACTTCGCGAGCCACCCGGTTTTGCATGTCCCGTGTGCCATTTTTGCTGGCGAATGGTCGTTACAAATCTCTCCCTCTCTTCACTATCTGCGCCTGGACCGTTAGGGCATTTCTGGCTTCACCTCGCCCGACGCTCGACGGTGTACGTTTACCGGCCTCGGGCCTTCTCTTTACCAGCCTCTGGCCTTCTCTTTTTTTGGGCGTTGTACGCTGCTGCTGTTGGCTTTGTGAATCCCTGCAAGGATCTACCCTGTTCGAGATCGCTTCGGGAGTCCGTTTCCAACATTTATTTCTTATGTTTCCAGCCGTATATCATTTTGTGGTCGTCGAGGTCCACCTCCGTTGACCTCCACTCTGTCCTTCTCACTGGCATTAGCGTTTTAATTTTCGTTGTTCTGCGCTAAGTTATATTCGCTGCTTCCCATACCAAGGAAACCGTGCTTGTGTTCCATTGCACACGTTCATCCCCGTTCGTAGTCTTTCTACCCCCGTTCGTAGCCTTTCTTTTCCCTCTGGCTCGTGCTCTTGAGCCGCATCTCGTTCCACGTTCGACTTTGTTGGCTGCAAGGAGGTGCGGTACCCGATGTATCTGCAGTATCTGTGCTGTATCCGACCTATCCAACGCCGTTTGTGGACATTCTTCGGTGCCTAGCCTAGCCCATTCATCATTAGCGCTTTCGAGGTTCGAGGGTTTTCTTCCCATTTCCAACTTTTTCGTTCGTTCACATCTGTCCTTCCGTCCTTCTCTTTTTGACCGAGTTTTGCTCGCGTCGACTG